ACCGTAAGCCCAACCTGCTCCCCAGCAGTGCACCCCTAAGAAGTACCCAGCTCCACAAGCTCCATAAAGTGACCAGGCTTGGGCTGCTCAGCCCTAACAACCTTGCCACCCCGGCCAGCCCTCTGTCCTGTGCAGTTCAGCACCTCAGGGCACAGAGGTGCTTGGGCAGCGTGGAGAAACACCTCACCACCCACTGTGAAGTCTGGGCTGAAATGGGATAAACGAAGCCACGAGCTCAGAAACGTCTGGCAGCAAGGCACGTCCCTCCCCGAGAGGGTGGCGTCTGGGGAGTCTTGTCCCACCTACCTCTAGGGCTGTCTCCTCCAGGAGGGCCTGACATGCAGGAATGGCTGTTGCTCTCGGAGAGACGCTGCCTTCGTCGCTGCTCAGCAATGCCCTTGGTGCGAGAAGGGGCTCTTGTCCTCTTCCTCACCCTCACCTCTTCATCCAGATGCAGCTGGACCCAAACCAGAGCAGGGCGAGGAGGCTGGAGGCCAGGCACACGCACAGAGCTCATGCCCACAAAGGGATGGTGGCGACCATCACATCTTTGAAGATGGCAGCTACCAACATCTCCGCTGCCAAACTCCCACAGCTTTCTGCCGCCTGGGACATCTTGTGTGAACATCATCCATGATGGACCTACACGCACACAAAGCCCACCAGGGCCCCAGCTCAGCTTGAGCCCAATGAGACATTCACCATTTGTCTCACAATTCAGTTTAGCTAGTAATGAAGCCCAACTTCCAGGGCTTGACTCAAAAGCCCTCCTAGTAGCTGCACACCTCGTCCATGGACTGATGTAGCTGGAGCAAAGGACGTAAAGATAAACATTAGGGAAAACCTTCCACCAGAGCGGACAGTGAAACGGTGCCTTCATAGTGGCCCTGACTGGATGTCTCTGGCAGCAGCTGGGACTGGTTTCAGCTATGAAATAGTCCCTGGGAACAGGCCTGGAGGGAGGGCGCAAACTAGGCAATCTCTCACAGCCCTGTATTTTTATTCTTGGGATACTGGCATACAAACGCGACAGGTTAAAACCTCTTAGACCCAGGCACGAGGATGTATTCTAGGTAAACACAAGCCAAATGAAGCAGGTATCTCCGGGTCACTTCGCAGCTCCTCTCCAAAACAGACTACCCGGGTGGGCTCCTGCGCTCCCCGCGGCTGCGCACAGCGGCACCGCGACCCCACACACTGCGCAGGATCTGCGCGGAGCTCGGTCCTTCCCTCCGCTTCGGCACCTCGGTGTCTTCTGGAAGGAGCCAAGGCCTGCCCGTGGCACCAGAGTGCACCGCTACAGGAACAGTGGCAACAGACCTTATGTAGTAATTTGAACAAGGAACACAATAGGAATTCAATACTTCCATTTATTAATTGCCGAATTTTAATCCACTGCAATAAGAAACAAAAAATCAACACAAAAATAAATTGCAATTTGTGTGTGTGAGTGTGTGTGTGTGTGTAAGACAGAGAGAGTCTGGGTATGTGTAACTAAAAATGACAAGAGCAAGAACAAAAAATAAACCTTTAAATGAGTAGGTTATATACAGTCAGTATCACCATGTTACTTTGCTGGATATATTAAATTTGGTGTTACCCAATCTTAGCAACAGGACTAAATATTGAGGCAGATAGCTGGAGGGCAAACCCCAAGCAGAAAAACAAACCCATAAGTAAGAAGCAGGATTAAAGTTATCTCCTGCAGAAAGAAACAATGGTGCTTTGTGTCATATTTGTAACCTTTCATAGTGGATATTTTGTGCTATAACACTTCATGTGAACATACAAGGAATTCCATCATTTAAATAAAAGGGGAAAAATCCCAACCTTTCATAACTGCCTTTTTTTCCTTCTCCCTTCACTTAATGTGTTTAAATTATTTTTTCTATACAAGGTAAGTACATTGTCTGTACAAAGTTAAATATACATATTTACAAGTCAAACTTCCAAGACACTGAGTCTTCTCTTCCGCTTACCTAGGCAGAAGACAAGCCTGTTCGATTTTAAACCCAGGGGAATGGCTAAATTTATCAAAATGTATTGCAAGTCGTGCTAACAGTTAGTTGCAGTTACACTTAATAAATCTGTATAAAAGCATCAGCATAAAAATAGGCATTTTATATTATTAAATACGGCTTATGACAAAATAGCAATCTAACCTTTTGCTATTTTTATGGTAACTATAGGAAGCAGAGTCTGATGGAACTGGTTTTGTTTATGCTTTTTACTTAATAATAAAACATCTATCAAAAGAGTATTTGTACTGGATTTACAGGCAAGCATACAGGCAAGCCTTTCTTTTTTTCCTCAAGGAAATACAAATATATGTAGCTGGTAAGAACTGTGGAAACACAGCTTTCCAAATTGATTAGGCTTTCTTGTTTGACTAAGAGGCAGCCAAAATGCATGTATTTTTTTGAGACTTACCATCAACACTGTAACCAAAAGAAATGAAAGGCACCCTCAGTGATATGTGGCTTGGGTCTATCAGAGCCTCGAGGATGGAACGCCAGGAAGGAGGCGACGTCTTCGTCCCACACAGTGGGCTTCAAACTGCGTGTGAGCGTTTAGGGCCAGCAACAGGGCAGGAGGAGCAGGGAAAGTGAGTGGCCGTAGGACTTATAAACAGGATTTGCTCTCGTGGATGTTCTGTTTATTGGTTCTATTCTTTGTGCAGACAAACGTTAAAGCTGGGCTGATCTCTCTTTAAAACACATGGCGCTGTTTTGATGCACACAACGCACTCACACACACACACACCCTGCACAAAAGAAGAAAAAAAAAACCCTGCAGAAATGAGGAGAACTAAAGGGTTTAGGCAATTTTTACTTGCATTATGTTTTGGCTGATCTGTCTGCATTAAACTATCGATCCCAAACTCCTTTTTCCCACAGAGCTCTGCAGTCCGACCACACGAGCTGTCCTCTGCCTGTGCTGGGTCTCAGGGTGCATGACATGAAGGGAGGGCTCTCCGTGACAGTGGAGGGCAGAATGCAGGGATTCTTCGGGAGGCAGCAGGCTCAGCCTCCCGGAGCTCCTCAGTGAACGGCGGCCCACACTGCCCCCACGCACTATGGTATCTCAGCACACAAACAAAACCCAAACCAGGTGCTTCCCCGAAGCCTGCTCAGAGGGAAATACTCCGTACAAATTAAGATTATCACCAGGACTCTTGCTGGGGAGGGGAGAGGAATACACAAAGGCAGCACTGTAAACTAGAAACTTTGCCTCTTCTTAATCAAACAAATCACACCCTGAATCAGTGGAAGTAGGGCTACACATTCAACTCAGTACTGTACCACATAACCACATCCTCCTAACGCTCTCATCTCTTGTCTATTACATTCATAAATTGTCTGTTTCTTTGCTATTTAAAAACACCATCTGGAAACAACTCCATCATTGCCACTGTGGGATCGCTGCTTTTTTTTACAGGTACAGAAGTTTCACGTAGTTGCCAGGGAAGGTGCCGAACTGTCTTGTTCTCCTGGATGTACCTGTAGGGGAAAGAGAACACAAGAAAGTCAGAGTAAGATGGAGTCACATGGAAAGGCTCAGAGGTTTAGGAAGGTAGAGGAGGCAGCCTGCTCGACTTGCAGGCATTACTTTCTAAAATTAAATAGGAGTCCTGGTCAAAGAGCCTTTGGGTAGCAGAACGAGTTCTGCCGCTAATCATCTTTTCTTTCTCATACACCAGTAACAATTAACAAGGTGCTGGTGAAACTCCTGGGCCCACAGGCTAAGTGCCAAATTCCTATCAGTTTAAATGGGCTAATAGGGAGTAAGCCTTGACTTCCACTGCTGGGATGGAAAGTATTGTCCAGAGGCAGAGACCTAGATTTCTAAACCTGCAGCTATGGATGAGGCTGGACTTCCAGAGGCTGCAGCTCCCATTTCTCCTTACTTGCACTGCCATCACTCTGCACCTCAGTTTAATCCAACCTCATCTCAGTGAGAAAATATGAGAAAACAGGTGAATTTTCTGTTTTAATTTCTGTTTTAACCCTGAAAATGAGGGTAGCTTCCAGATGTTCTGCAAAATTGCTGGCTTGCATCTCAAAGAGCCCAGCTAAGGGGCAGACGTCGCACTCACCCACAAACCAGCCATCATCACACTTCTCCATGACATCCACAATATCCCCGTCCCTCAGCTCCAGCTCATCATCGTTCTGAGGAGTGTAGCTGTAGAGCGCTTGGTAGCTAACTCTAAAAACAGAGAGATACTGCGCGTTAGCCCGCGGATTTTTCTGACATGTCAGTAGAAGACATCCCCGTTCCCTTTTCTAATTCCCACAATGTTTTGTTCAGTGCAATCTGAACCTCATGTAATTTCCATTGGAGGTCAAAGCCAATTATATTAATCTGGGCATGGTCCCACAGCTGTAACAACACACAGTATCACATCTCCTTTGTGTGGGAGCTTCTGCTTCCATTTTGCCACAGTCTCCATAGACCATGACCACCAGAGCTTTGCTAAAGGCAGCACCAGGAGAGGGTAGGAGTACGGATGCCACATTAAATTCAATATCAGAATCTGGATACACTCATTCCTGGGCAAAACAAGCCTTCCCTTCCCTTCCTCCCCCACACAGGCAGAGCCACGATTTAGCAAAAATCCGACAGAGTGAAGGACTTCAGAAAAGGTGCTGCCTGCTCTCCTGCACTAAGGTTGCTGGTTGATTCCAGGCCGAGGAGGAACAGTGTAAACAGAAACCAAAACCTGAATCCTGTTCTGAGCTAGTTCCTCCACCTGTGATTACCAGAAAGGAATGATAGAGTGGAAGCAATCCACTCTTTGGGGTTATTTTGGGAGGTTTGGGTTCCCTGGCTACAGACAGCGGAAATAGGGATGGTGTGGCGGAGGAACAGTGTAAACAGAAACCAAAATCTGAATCCTGTTCTGAGCTACTTCCTACACCTGTGATTACCAGAAAGGAATGATGGAGTGGAAGCAATTCCCGGGGATATTTTGGGACATTTCGGTTCCCTGGCTACAGACAGTGGAAGTAGGGATGGTGTGGGACTTTCCATTCTGCATGAGAACAGGTGGTGGGAAGCAAAGGCTCCTGTTGTGAGCCGACCACCAATAAACTTCAGTCTCCAGTGGATACCATAGCCTAATATTCTCAAAACCATCACTGAAAGACCCAAAAGGTGGTGGGAAGCAAAGGCTCCTGTTGGGAGCTGACCACCAATAAGCTTCAGTCCCCAGTGGATACCGTAACCTAATACTCTCAAAACCATCAGTTTTAATTGAGCTTAAATGGCAGCTCCAGGTCAGTGGACAGCTTTGAAAATCTCAACCTTGATTTCTCACATCATTCAGCTACTGGTTCTTCAGTGCGCTTGCCTGACAACGCACCCGTTGACTCTGCGAAAAGCTAAGAACAAGAGCGTGCCCACTGTCAGTGCCCCACATAAGCCAGAGCTACTGGATGATGATTTGACTCCAGCTTCAAACTCAAACATGTTGAGATGTCTCCTACAACCCGTGTGAAACAAGTGTCCAAGGGAGACCCACTTCTGCACCATGGGATCTTTGTTCCACATAGTATACAAAGGTACGAGTTTTAAGCTTCTCACTGAGATGATGAGACTTGAAAGCTTCTTGCATTTTGGTTCTTTAACAAAAGATGACCTTTACCCTTAACTAACTTAACTCCTGAGATGCTGAAGCCAATAGAAGAGATGGGAGCCAAAAGGACTTACATGTCTCGTGGTGTATGACTTCTGTCAGGGCTGGCTCCTTGCTGCTGTGCTTGAGGTTGCTGAGAAATGATGAGAGATGGTTTATGGTCATTAGAGGTCACCTTGTGGCGAGAGTCAAGAGGCTGAGATATAGTACTGCAGTAATGAACAGACTTTTCTGCAATGTTTATGATCTCATTGCAAACAGCTTCCTGCGTGGTAGGCAGCATTGACATCCAAGAACACCCAAAGAACAGTCAACAAGGGGAGAGGGAGGGGAGAATATAGACAGGAAGAGATGGGACATTCCAGATGCAGCACATAAGTCCAGTAAAAAAAAAAAGAGTTGTAGATCCAGGTAAATATCCAGGTAGTGGAGTGCAGAAGTGATCCAGGTGTAAGCATGGAAAAACAGGCAAGATACAGAAGAATTTGGCATTTAGTTTGAATATACATAACAAATGCATATACATATATTTTAAAAAGCAGCAGCATAAGAGGTTGCGATTAGTTAGGCAGTGGCACCATTACAAATGCTATGGAATCAGTTCAAGACTGTAAGGCAGGCTGCTCCATTCATGCATTTTGTCTTATTTAACTTATATCCAGGGACTGGAAACACATTTAGCCCAACTCTTCATTGGCAATGGCAGCTTTTTAAGTGCTAATTTCCCCTTTTCTATTGCAAACATAACAATATATGTAAAAAGATAAATATGTACCTATTCTGCAGCTAAAAATACTGCTGGAATTTTATACTCTACTGAGGTGTTACTGCCTGGGTGAAGAGAGGCTAGGACTACACATCTGATTTAAATGGTGGCCTTACCACATAGCTCTTTTCAGACTCTGTGAGATCTGGTCCAGCTCTCAATGAATGGTGGGAAGGCTGTGTGATCACCAAGCAAATGATAAGGAAGACATTTTAGCAGATGTTATATTGCTCAGAATTAAAAAATTGTAAATGGTGTGCAGACAACAAAAGAAAACGAACAACTCTTCCCCCACCCCTCACCCCAACACTGCTCTTCTTGGCCAACAAGGTCTTTCACTTACATGGAGGGACATTCAGGCTACAGTGATGCACCTGCATCACAGCACACAGAGCGCTGCAGAGTAGCGAAACATGAGAGCAGGGAGCCAGAGGACGAGATGAGAGAGCAGGGGCACAGCTACAACCAGGAATGATGCACAGTGCAACACTGCATTGCTGGGGGAAGGGGGAAACAAGGGCAGGAGCACATACGGGGGGTTCCAGACTCGAAAGGCCAAAACCAAGCTGAGAGGAAACTGCTGCTGTTCTCAGAAAAGCCCTTTTCGACTTTGACACGGGAAAGCCTGGCAATTTGCTTGCTTCCCAAGACTACCAGCTCAGGTCCTCAGAAGACAGCCCCTCAGTGCAGCCCCATCAAAACCACTCTGCTTGTACCAAGTGAGGACCTGAGCTGCTTGTTAACTCTCTGCACAAGGACGAGCTTCAGGTCAGAGAATGCCCTGCCTGAGGAGCTCAGCTGCAAACCCCACCAGCCACGATGCCTTCTGGCCCCTAAGCTGTTTTTCGCTGCACTCGCACCTCTTCTCACAGGGCATCACGTGCCCAGTCCAGGGAGCTGCAAGGAGACTCTGTGAGTTGGAGGTTTGCAGGGGGAAGCGTCACTGCGAAAGCTTCACAGAAATACCCAGAGCCCCGGCTGGGCATGCTTTTGGCACGCTCAAACTCCTGCATGGTGTGTGCACACAGGAGACAACAGAGCACCTGAAGCCATGGAGGGTCATTCCTACTGCCCGCAGTGCTGACTGGCAAATTGGATTGCATAAAATACAGAGCACTGCTGTTTTGTGATCATTCAATAGACTACTCAACCCAAATCCCCAAAACCTTAGTTTCACACTTTCCCTCCCCTTATTTATTCACTTCAACAACACCATTCACCATTTCTGGGCTCTCAAGACCTGGATGCAGTCTCAGGAAAAAGCCTCTCTCTCACGGCACCCCAAGAGAGCAGAGAAGTGAAGGATAAAGGGCTTTGTGCCACCTCCAGCCCAAGCCTGCTCAAAGCGTTGGGAAAATACAGTGTGATGAGCTCATCTCTGCTTCCCACTCCTAAAGGTCCTCTGAACTCAGTTTGGACCTCTGGGACTATGCTTATCTCTGTATTAAAGAAAAGCATCTCTCTTCCTGAGGACTGTGACCCAGTCTCCACCAACCCAAATTCACAGCAACCCCTCTTCAATCAAAGCTGCTCTCTGGAGCTGGGACCTGAGTTCACGGAGATCAGGGTAGTGGAATCACTGCCCTGGGAAACAATGGTCTATTATCATGCATATTTTAATCCAGACAGAGGTCAAAAAGAGTAATTTGCATAGGCTAATTAATATTAATTTGAATTTACTATGTAGTCTGAAATCATGCCAGAAGTCTCAGAAGTCCATCATGCCAGTCTACCAGCAGCCCTGAAAAGCTAACAGGACACTTGGAAAGTCCAAGTATTGAGCGCAGCAACTGGATTGAATGCATCAAATCTGGAGAAGTCAGAGCCAGCTCAGGTGTGGCAACAGAGCTGCGAAGAGCCAGTCTTCAGGCTGAGGAGAGAAGCAGGACATATATATATATCTTTTTTTAATTCAAGAAAGTGCTTCTCTGCTCCACGCTAATAAATTGACACCTGGAAATTGCTCTGAGCACTTCTAAGCCAGTGCGGTCATTTCTCATTGACCTCCTTGAACAGCTTTTGTCCAAAACACATTAACAATGCTGAATTAAATGGGCTGCTTGAAGCTAAAAAACCTGGCCCTGCCTCTGAAGGGTCCTCAGTGCAGACGCAGGCCTGCAAGCGCAGCAGGCACAGCCTGCACAGGGCATCAGAAACTTGGCCATGTTCCCTTTGTTAACACTAAGGGCCTAGGCTTAAGCAGGTACCTGAGTGCCTTGCCAAACCAGTGTCTATGCCTCTGTGTCTGGGACTACACAAACATGCGACAGTCAGTCCTGAAACACAGCTGGTCACTGCTTCCACCTCATAAGCAGTTTGAGGATGGATCTAAAAACATTACAAATTTGTAAAAATACCATAGAATAGGTCAGCCTAGGAAAGCCCTGAGATGTTTTTACTGTTAAGAAGGAAGATCCTGGGGCTGCTCCACACCCACTTCCCGGTGAAGGCAGCTGCCATCAGTGTGTCATCCATCACAGCTCCTGTTTTGATCCCCTATCCCACCCTCCCTGGTCAGAGCTCCGGGACAGTGAGGCAGAACACACTAACACACAGGACAGACGGGCAGACAAGTCGGTCTCCAGGGAAAGGCAGGGAGAGCCCCAGCGCACACCCGAGCCCCGCGCTGGTGAAGGCAGGAAGGGGGAGGCTGGCCCAAGAGCTCTCACAAAGGGCGCTGAAAAGGCCATGGCGCAGAGCGGCTTGGCTGAGGCTGCCACAACCGAGCGCCGGTCCCGGCTCCGAGCCGTGCGCAGCCCCCGGCCCCGCGGGGACCCTCCTCCGGCCTCCGTGGGTGTCCGGCTCCGCAGGGCCTCTGCAGCGCTGGAGCTGCCCTGGCCCTGCTGCTCACGGTGACGGGGGCTCAAAGCGGGAGTCAAAGCAGGAAATTCCCAGGGGTCTCTCGAGATAAATTCAATCGATTGATTACACTGGAGCTCAATAGTCATGTTTTACTGGAATGTTGGAACAAATTAGCAGTAAGCTACATAAAAGGCTTGGGTTTGGTCTTTATTTTATAGGCTGGACTTCAAAACTAAAGGGAATAATTTTGTAACATCTAAATGCACTTCTTAATATCACTGCTCTTTGCATTACTATTGGGAACAAGCAAGAACACAATCCCTATCCCAGTCCTGAATCCAAGGCATCTTAAATTTGCAATAAAACCTGCACCTGAATTTCATAACTGAGGTCTTTCTCTGTGATAAACAAACTTAAAATTGCAAACTATAAAATATCCTCAGGCATCATGGTTAAATAGTATTCAAAACAAGGAATAAGGCTCTTGATAATGTCACACACACTTTTAACTTAACAATGCTCTGATTGTCCAGGCATATACAATAAAAATTTTGGCTTGACATGAACTCCAGGAAAAGCCACTGAGTCACGTTACAAACCAGGTGCAACACCCCAGACAGACCTCTGTGCTAGCCAGGGCTCGGGAGGAGCAGCTCTCTCATCATGCCACTTTATTCCTTTGCTGCAGTATATAACCAGGGCAAGCATCAGCAGGACCAAGCAGATCAGAGGCCAGGAGAAAGGGCAGTAGAGAAACTTCCATGGATTAATAACATGAAGCACAATATGAAGCAAATTGGATTCAGATATTGAAATTACAAGGGAAGCAGGAAGTGGTTTATAAGAAAAAAAGTTTTCCAAACTTTTGCTCTGAGGGAAAGGAGGTAATTAAAGGTAATTAAGGAAAAATTCAGGGTTAAAGTGATGTCTCACTCTAAAGGACTGCTCAGAAAAATGAATAACACTGGCACCTACTTCCCACATTCTTCTTGCACAAGCAACCTGCTTGGTTCACTGCTCAAGCCAAGACTGCTGCCCCCAAGCCCGCCACCACAAGCTCACTGCAGTTCACAGCTGTCAACTTTTCACTTCAAATATTGCCATCTTGTGGATGCTGCCAGGAAGCACCACGAGGCAAGAGCACCCACAAGCTCTGCTCACTCCCCCCGGGTGTGCAGTGCTGAAGGGAGCTCAGGACGCCGCTGTGTCCCTGCCCCTCTTCAAAGATGTTTGTAGCTCGCAACAGCAGAGCTCGGAGCCTCCACAATAAACGAATCCTTCCTGAGGGCTGGGACAGGTCTCCCGCACTGCGGAGGTAGGTCCTACACCCAGCTCAGGGCCACTCAAACCTCAAAGCTTTGTTTAACCATCTCAGGTGGTTAAACAAAGCCTGTGCCAAAGCATATCCCGTTATATTGCTCTTGCTAACAAGGCCACTGATCCTGCCTGGCAGGTCCCTGGGAAGCTGAGCTGAAGGCACACAAGGTCAGAACCCCTTGGCAACTGGAACTGCTAAATAAGCCCGGGGTTAATCCTTTCGAGGAACAGAAAGTCAAAGCCTCAGCTGGTACAAATGGGCATAAGGCCACTGACTTGCAAAGCTATGAAGATTTGAAGCAGCTGAGGATTTTGCCCACACCTGCCCTTCTGCACAGTCTGGAAGCCATTTACATTTTTTTTTTTAAGATAATGCTAAATTAAAAGCAAGAGTAGTATCTCATTTGTAGAACCAGTAAATGGAGAAACAGGCATATGACAAAACAGTGGCATGGCATGGAAACAACTCTAAGTCATGGAAAAGTAATCAGCAAAGATGATTGATTACCTTATTGACTCTGCGTGTAAGTCTGGGAGGTGGTTGTGTTGTGACAGTAGAGGAAGAGAGGGCAGAGGAAGAGAGAGGAGCAGATGAAGAGAATGCTTTTGAGTCTGCAGTCTTTTGAAGAAAAGAAAAGTTGGTCAGCTTGGCATACACTCTCTTATCACAAACACTGATAGTGGTAAGAGCATCTACTATCCAGTTAAATTTGATGCATACACAGCAAACTTAACTCCATGCAAGGGTAGATGCAGCTTTCTGGTTGGTTTGTCTGAGCTTACCACCTCACTGTGTTCTAAACATGCGAGTTAGATCTGTAAGAACTGTGATTAGAAAAACATCCAGATTGGAAGCAGTTTTATACAGCTTTCAATACAGTCCTGATTATGACTGCAGATTATGAAACAGAAATCAAACAATTTGTCCTAAGATTTCCCAGTGTGAAATGTATCACCCTATAAAGAACAGTCCCTGTTAATAATGGCTAGACTGGGTATGCCATGGAGGCTATTACAAAACGTTTAAGAATTTTTTTATAATGCTGTCATTTAATGCTCTCCAAACTCCCACTCTTGTGCAAGGCAACGTAGCAGTGCTCTAATGTACATTGGCGGGCTATGGCCTATAAGGGACCTGAAGCCAACTGAGGCTTGCTTGCACCTGAAAAGTAAGGCAGATCTCTTATACCAAAATTGGGAAAGGGACCTGAAGCCAACTGAGGCTTGCACCTGAAAAGTAAGGTAGATCTCTTATACCAAAATTGGGGGCAGACATATATTGCAGAAGCCACTTAATGGTTCTCCTAAATTTCTTCTCAGTGTATACTGTAGTTACATGTAAACGAACACTCCTGAAGGAAAATAACATTGGGTCTAGCTCTCATTTGGGCCTGGACCCTTTCATATCATTTTGGAAATGCAAAATTAATAAAATCTACTCAAAGCATAGAGGACAATCAAGCCTCTCTGACCTAGTAACACGAAGCCCCAACTAAGGTTCACCAAAATCCCAGGCTCCAGGATCTTCCCTCCTGTGTGGCCACAACAGAGGATGGCATTTGGGATTCCTGAAGCCAGGCTGACATTCACAAGGACTTTCAGTCCTTGGCTTTGGGGAAATAAAATAGAGCCCAGCACCAAAGATGGTCCATTGCACACTGGAAAATCTTTTAATAGCAAGGAGTGGCTTGTATTCTGGAAATCTGGCAGTGACGTATACAGGCATGGGGCCTGTGCAATCACATCTGGTTACAGCCATTTTCTGGGACAGTTACTTCATTAGATGTGATCAGTTAGGTTAGTCCTGAGTTATGATCTGTTCTAAAATAACTCTCACCACGCTACTCCTGAGCCCTCTTCTAAGGCTTTCTGGCCTGTTTTCCAGAGATTGACACTGGTGATCCCTGGAAGAAAGGCTTTGGAGCCTCAGAAGGGTAGCCACTGGCTTTGCCTGGCCAGCTGAGCAGCACGAACCTCAACACACCAGTAAAATCAGCAACTGAGAGTAGCACACACACATGCAGGAAAAGTACCTTCTTTTCCCCGCTTTGAAACTTTCTCAGATCCCCTTTCCTCAATGCCTCATTGCCTCTTTTCTCTGCTTTACCTCCCTGCACAATAGCCATTAGCTCCTGACACAACTGGTTGTCCTCAGAAGAGCCCCCGGGTCTCTTTTCTGGGCTCACACGCATGTCTAGCTGGGACGGTTTCAGGCAGCCCTCCACAGAGATCCGGGGAGCAGCGCGAGGGCCTCCTTCGGGCTTGCTGCTGCCCTCTCTGGTCTTTTGGAGCCAGCCGTGGCCGCCCGCGGCGCTGCTCGGCTCCGTGAGGACACCCTTGGGGCTCCCAGCGGCCCAGCGAGGGGGGTTAGAGCAGCCCACGCTGGCAGACGGGGAGCCAACAAACTTCTCTTCGCTCTGTGGGGTGGCCTGATAGACACTGCGAGTGGAGGGCTGAGGCCTGGGTGAGTAAGAGGGCAATGGGGATTTGATGGACCTGGGTGTCGAGGAGCCAGAGAGGTGAGAATGGTGGAGGCTGACCGAGGGGGGAGGGCTGGCCGCAGCAGAAGGCGAGAGATAGTCAGAGCGAGAGAGGGAGGCGTCGGACGGAGGAGGCAATGGAGGAGTTATGGCAGGAGTGGTGCTGGGGGACACTCCCACGGTCAGGGCGATCCACTCGGAGGTGATCGCCTGCACCTCTGGAGACAACGCGCGGCGCGCGAAGGGCAAAGGCGGAGGAGTTGGTGTATGGAGCAGCTCAGAGCTGGCAGACTTGAAGGAGACAAAAGCAGAAGAGAAAAAGAAAGAAATGAACAAAAAAATAACAAAGGAAAATACAAAATGACTAAGTGAAAGGGAAGAAAGTGAGAGTGGAGAGGAGCAGATCTGTGACCAAGCACGGTCCGTAAGTCTTCCATAGACAGGTCCACCCTTATGGAGATGGTGCTGTCCACAGCTACTCCAACATAAGTCTAGTCCAAATCTGTGTGGCTTGTATCCTTCTCCAGCCTTTGCCAGGATCCCAGACACATGGTGTCTTGTGGAAGATCCTTAGCTCTCACCACACTCTAGGGAGCAGCTGAAAGCACCATCCATGATGGCAGAATGAAGCATTTGATGGGCCTGGCAGTACTCCCTGTGAAAGGACTCTAAGCAATTCACACTGTGGACCCAGTCAGAATTCACTGCTGCAATTAATTGTGATTGAATCCACCTCTAAAACAAGTAACTCCTGTTCCTCAATAAACTTGCATTGCTAAAGCTATGGAAGAGAAAGGTCTCAAAAGAGCTAAATGTGGCTAGAGCAAACTCTGTGTTTAGAAAGGCATAACACAGGACCAAATTCTGGCCTCAGCTGTCACCACCAGCATTAGCATGATCAGCAACATTAGTACTTACTGGAGAGTTTCTTGGTTAGGCATGCAGCCCTGCCAAGTTAGGCCAAAAAGCAAGAAGGGAAGGACTTTACTGGAAGGGAATCAAAAGAACAGCAGAGAAAACAACGACAACCAAAAAAGGTGGATACAATCCCTTCCATTAAAGGAATAAACTTGCAGAGAGCTAGTGGCACGCAGGCCAAGCCCAAACATTATAAAAGCTCACTTGTGGTTCACTTTGACAGAGAACCCTGAGAAGGCAAAAAATTTCTCCAATTAAGAGAGGAATATGATAAAGAATATAAATAAATAAAATAAAGAATTAAAACATTTAGGGAAGATCCAGACAGACACTGGACATGAGTCATGCCAATATCTTCCATCCATTCTATACCATATTTCCTCTCCTCCTGAACGCAGCTCTCAGCAGTCATTCCTTTCAGTCTTGACCTACAAATGGTCTTGCTTTGGTCCCATAGTGAGACAGGGGATGCACCAGAACCTCACAGTCCCCACTCAGACACGTATGCTGACCTTCAAGGATCAGTATTTGAAGAACGAGAGCAAAACAAAAGGATTCAGAGACTCGTTGTCTCCCTGATACGTTTTCCACAGCAAACATTCTGGGACTCCCTTATTCCCCATATAAGTATCTGCTGCCATTTTGATTTCTGGTTTGAACTGCAGTATGATTTGAAGTGAATGACAGTCATGAAAGATCCCAGACTTGCCACTCTCAAAATCCAAGTCCATTTAGCACCAAAAGCAATTAACAAAGGCCACAATCCTGACCCTGTACCCTAAAATGTTAGTTGTAATCTGAGATAATTAGGAGAAAGGGTAGGGCCTGATTCAAGCTGCTTGGGATAGACAGAATGAGTCAACGCACTATCACACTCCATGAGACCATCTTAAGAATCATAATAAAAAACTCACTCATCACTATGGAGGTATGTCAAGAACAAATACCCACTCAACAAAACTGAATCACAAATTCATCCCATCTGACAGTGAAATTTGTTCACAGGGCTACGAACTGTAGCCTGACCTGAATTCTCCCTGACCTGAATTCAAGCTGCAGATCACAGGTGAAAAGCTGAGTCTCCAAATTTCTAAATGTCCTAGTCATTAATCTTTCTGGTGCATGAAGCATGACCTTCTCCTGCAGTTGCAGCACACTGCAGGGAGCACACAGTTCTACTGTGCAAGGGAGTAGTGTTAGCAAGAGCTTCTCTCAGCTATTATTTCTCGCGCAGCAATGACAACATCCCACAGCTCTGAAAGGCTCAGTAACTGGCAGCATCTAGTCCAAATACCTGTGGTGAAGCCGTCATGCTGCGGTTAGGGGAGAGGGACATTGGTGGGTCAGGATAATCGATGGCATTCTTGACCACAGGCCGTTTGAGCACTTCCACGTAAGTGACAGGGAAGATGCCCTGGCGATTGGTGCCGGAGATTTTTCCTTCATACCAATTCTCATCCACGCGTCGAATCAATGTGATTCTTTCACCCTGTGGGAAGAAATGGCAGGGTATTTCATAATTCCAAAGCAGACGGAAGCTTTTAACCTTGCTGCAGCTGATTTAAAAAAAAATCTTTGGCTCACAGCCTCTCTTATTCCCCAGTTATGCTGCCAAAACCCAAACTCTGTGTGGGAATGATATTTTTTTTCTCTTCAGAGAAGGAGAAAATGTAAAGCTTTTGGTGTTGTTTTGGGATATCTTTGAACTTAGGCAGGGTACTGTTATGCTCGTCTCACATTTTCAAGACCATATTTGCCAGAGGAAGTGTTAAAAATGAAAACCAGAGTCTTCAGTCTGACAGTGAGACCCTTGTCACCAAATATGTACCCCACCTAGCAGAGCCAGGCTTCCAGCACTGTACTCAAACCACCTTCTCAGCTAGCCCTAAGGAAGCAAACAGCACTGCTTAAGCCAGCCTGCCTGCAAAACCCTTCCTATAATGCACTACATCATTGTTATGAGATAAACACAAGGGTCATGTGATGGAATCGTTCCAATTGAAATGTTTAGGGAAAAAAGTGCTAACTTTAGTAGAGAATTCATTTGGAAATGTTGCAAGCTAGCAGCATTAACAACCTTCAGCATGTGTCTGATTTAGTTCATCAGCTTGCCAACAGTCCTACCTTTCTGAAGGACATTTCCACTTGGGTATCCCCATTGAAATTGAACTTAGCAACAGCATCTCCATATTCCAACACCTGCAATGGTGCTGACTTTTTGGGTTGAGCTTTCTCAGCTGGCGGAAGTAGCTGGAAGGAACAAACAAAACCAAATGAGGGACAGGAAAAAAGCTCAGAAACTGGTCCCTGCCAGAAAAGGAGTGGGCAAAGGGAACACTTCCAAGGAAAGCAGCTACCTCAATGTATGATCGTGGGAAGATGCCAACTCTGCCGTGGTGTTCACCTTCATACCAGTTCTGGTCAATCTGCTTGTAGATGTAAACAATATCTCCTTTTTGCAGAGGAAGCTCCCTGTTAACAATAAAACACAAATGTTGCCTCCTGGGATGCAAAGACAGAGAGAAAAAACACTCGAGGCAGTCGCAATGAGCTGTACTCACTTTAGTGTCTGTGCTTTAAAGTCAAACTTGGCTCTAGCAGGTCTCATCTAAAGATCAAGAAAATCAACACATTAAAATAACAACTAGGTTTTCAACTCTCTTCTGAGGAAAAGCACCCAAATTCTTCTACAGCTAACATTATTCTGGGGATGAACTTAAATGCAGGTACTCTGCTACAAGCATGTTTGCAACTGGTATCACAGTTCAGATATGCTACATGGGTCTTCCCCACCAGGGCAAAAGGGACAACTCTGGTAACAGTAACTAGGAGCTCTAAAGAAAAGGGACCTAAAAGGAGTAAACTTTCATATGTGACAAACCTTGCTGGATGCAACAACTGCTCCAGTAACTAGTTACTGGGCCTTTGGGACCAACTTTTCTTGACATGCAAAACAGAAGGCAAAATTTGGTGGCTGCAAAAAAGCAGCAGGGTTTTATTTGATGTGGCACTTACTAACCCTACTCAATCCTGCAAAGGGACCCAAGGAGGTACCTATATCCCAAAGGGGAACCTGTCCCAAAGAGACCGGTCTCAACTGGTAGGAAAGAGACAAAGGTGAGGAGAAAGTATGACTAAATTAAGCAATGTGTCAAAAAAAAAAAGTCTTCTGCGGGTATAAAACCAAAGAGGGCATGTTGGTAGCAGGCCTAGGCATTAAAACATGATTCACTTGGCTGGGCTTTTAATGGCTTTTAAATATTCAGGTAATTTTTAAGCCATGAAGGTAATAAAGCATAAAACAAAAAAATAGTTGTATTCACGTGGCATTAAAGAATTTGAAAGCGCTATATAAACAAAAGGCAGATAAATGCCTTCCATTGTCATGGAAACATCATGGGGTGAAACACGGCAGCAGTTAAGTGCCATGGCAGCCATCCATAATGCAGGGAATGGGGTTTGGCTGGGACACCAAGCGTCACAACCAGCCGCAGTGCCAAGTGCCTTCGGCTCCAGGGAAAACCCTCCATCTCCTCCTTTGTCCCTTTCACAAGGGCTGATGGTGGTGTACTTGGTGAAACATGCTGGCACTTCCTCTGATTGTTTCTAGAGGACATTAAACATAGTTCAAGATAAGAAACAATCTACTTCTACAAAAATCTATGAGAGTCACATGGCCAAGATCAGCAAGACATGAAGATTCTAAGCATAACGCAAAGACAAGAAGACAATGTAAGAATATGATGCAGAGGATGTAAAATGCCTTTGATTCACTAAAAGTAGCTGATATTTAAAGACATGCATCACAGGTGTGCACCAGCAATTCTCAGCAGGCATGCTTTAACATATGCAGCTTGGTATAGAGATATCAATTAATTTACCAGGCGTAAGAGTCAAAGCAGTTCTAAATGAAGCCAGAATGGGAAAGGGGAAGGGGAAAAAAAAACAAACAACATTCTCTGGAGAGCTAATGTCGGCCTAAAGCGCAACATTGTGAGAGGCAAATATTGCTTTGGGTCAAGCAGCAGACTGAGGTAACTAAAACAGACCTCTGACCCAGATTTCCTCTTTGCTGTATCGTCTATATTTAGGAGGTCCCCAAATCGCTCATTAGTGATAAATTGATGGTGCGTTGGAATAACCCCTGTGTGCCTTCTAGCTGCAATATCAGCTTCTTCTTGCTCACGTTTAAGCCGTCTCTGGTCCTCTAAAAGTTTCTGCCATAAAATTGCATAAAATGGGCGGTAAATCATCTAGTTTAGGGCATTTGACAGCTGCCACAAATGTGACTTCAATAAAACTTCTGAGGTCCCAGCAAATAGCTGGGGCTTTACAGGAACACAAAACACCGATTCTGCTCACTACACAACAGCTCCTCTTTGATTTAGCAAGCATAGAAAGTACATAACTGTGGTATATCTGAAATACAGCTCAGAGAGGACCTGATCCAAAGCTGATGGATGTCACCAGCATTTTGGGTCAGGTCCTGAAAGTTTCTAGGATAAGGGGGAGATTTCTGATAATGCAGGGGGCTGGATCCAAACCTCCTTTGGCCAACAAGGAGTTTTTCTCATTGACTTCCATGAGTTTTCTTGATGGATTTTGGGGGTGAGGGGGTTGTTAGCTGTTTCATGGGAGAAGACAGCAAAAACATATTTTTTCACATCGGAATTAAAAGCAGGTCTTATCATATTTCAAAACACACAGAAGTATTTTTTAAATGGAGAAGGATAATGTGTTTATTCACTAAAAATACCATTTTGTTTAATTTTCTGGTCTTTTCAGACAATGAAAATTAGCAGCTTCCTAGAAAACAATTAGTTTATTACGGTTCTAATACAGTCAGAGCTAATAAAAAAATGCATAGATTTCTTAATATTTCAGCTTAAATGTACGTTGGCCAGCCATTTCCGAAGGGAATGTTACATTTTGTATTCAACAACTTGAGATACCATGAAGGATTCTAGTTTTCACTCAAGGGGCGAACTTCGTATTTTCTAACAGCTTTAAGTAGCTTGCGTTGACTACTCAAAACCTGAGCTGCCCACAAGACAAGCCCAATCTCACCAGTTTGATTAAAACTAACTCAAATGGCTTGCTTGGAAAGCAATAAAAACATATTCACTTATAGAACAACCATTTCGTCCATGAAAAATTGATGTGTTGTATTACATCTCACACATATCTCCAACCTTGTTACATTCTTTAAGGTCCTTATATACCATCAGGTTCATTTTAAACGATAGATAAACTAAAACACAGACAGGTTATACAGTAAATCAGTAGCAAAGGTGGCATTAGGACTCAAACATACTAGTTCCAACTTCTTGCTCTAACTTCCAACATAATTCCTGCATGTGACGCTGTTACTATTATTCTCAGGCTATAAAAGAAGGCATTACCTCCTTATCATCATGACGTCTGCGGATAATTTCTTCTGGAGTTTCCATGTAATCAACTGGTGCAAAATGCCTTGGTGATTCTGAATCTACTTTGAAACAACATAAGGAAGTTAAAATACACATGGATTTATTTAGCATAACCAGAAAGGAAGAAAAAAAATTTTTTTTAAACAATTTCTACTATGGCAGCAAGAATTCTCAAATACTGTTGACCAAATTGTCAATCAAATGTCAATATTTTGTCCATTTTCATTTTTTTCCCCTTTTGGTCTGTACTTCTGAACTTAAATCCAAAAAAGGGAGAAAATAAAGGTACAGGAATGAGTAAAACCATAAGAACTTTGTGAAGAAAAGATTTGCTGCCAACAAAATAGAATTTAACATCTTATTATTGAGAAAAGTTTAACACACACACACATACACAACTAGACCTTGAGAAACTGCTCCTTAAAGCAAATCATCTGGGTTTGTTTTATGTTCCCAACTATGCAAATGATATAGTACTAGAAGTATCTCATGTTGAGATTCTTGTATCCCAGGAGTTGCTTGAGACAAACTGCGCCTGATGCGTTTAGAAAGGCAGCGGAAATCGTTTCTCAGAAGTGCAGCTGTTAACAAGTCCTGAACATAAATTCTCAGCAAGACACGCAAAGGACGTTAGACATACTGGAAAAAAAAAAAAGAGAGTGAGGGGATGCAAAGGTGGAGAATAAAAATGCAGGGGTTGTGAAGGAAAGGTGGGGAGAAAGTAAAGCGAGAAGACAGATGAAGGGACACCGGTAAAGAACACAAAAAGCCACCTCCTAGGTATGTCCCCAGTTCACTTTGCGGGTTGTTGTTTGTGTCCAAGCTGGGATAGAGAGCATATGGAACAGGGTTGCCATTGTTAAAGGAGTCAGGAGCAGCAGCCCGACCCAGGAAGCTCTCCCGGCCACATCCCACTGCGGGGAAGTGGCTGAGCTTCCCCACAATGTCCAAGGAGGACAGGCGCTCCGGGGCTAGAGGCCTGCTCTGGAAGCACGGTCCGTGCTGGGAGTGGTGACTCTTGGCTCCTACGCTGCCTTGCAGCTGCACGGGGTCATGTGGGCTCTCGGGGCTGGGCGCTGACGGGGTTCCTGGGCAGTCCAGGGGTGGAGTCCTCCTGGAATTGTGGTGGAAGGGTTTTTTCAAGCGGAAGGGGAGAGGGCTCATTAGGTAGACGTTTCTGGGGAGCATGGGCCTGTCCCCGTAGACATCCCCTTTGGAATCAGGGTTCCTGGAGGACTGCTGCTGCTCATGCCTTCGGATGGTAGTGAACCTGGTGTAGGAAGCTGGGCATGTGCCTTTGCATCTGTTGATTTTGTATTTCTGAGGCCCATTGAGGTTGCTGCTGCTGCTGCCGCCGCTGTCATTAGATGCATTTGAGAGGAGATCTATCTCATCTGTGCAAGCTGAAAGTGTGTCCATAGGGATGGCATCACTGACATCTGAAGCTGTGTCCTCCACGTTGCTGCAGGAGCGGGAGGATTTATCTGCCAAGCTGGCAGCATCCTTCTCTTCTTGAAGGGGTTTTGGCAAATCCAGGACAGACTCGGCAGAGTATGCAGAACTCAGACAAGTTTTAGACCGAAGAGAAGTGGGAAATTTGCCTTGTCCAATGGAAAAGTCAAGTGAGGGCATTGACCGGGACCTCTGGATCAGCTGCTCAAAGGCGCTGATACGGGAGGAAACTGTGTGTTTGGGGATCTGCTCTGAATTCCCCTGGCTGAGACTGTGCTCCGTCCTATCCTTTGCCTCATTCTCAAATTGAGATGCAATATCCCTCACGCTGCAGGAAGAGGCTGTGTCCAGATGGATCCTAGACCGGTTGATCTGGTGCATGTCTTTATACAGCATGGTAAACTCCATCCCACTCTTCCTGGAGGCAGGGAACAGGTAGCCTTTCCCAGAGTTGGTGCCATATTCCTGCAGGCTCATGGTGCTGCCAGATTTGATGGCATACTCCTGCTTTGACTTCATCAGCATGTTTTCTATGCCTTCCCCTATGTCTACCATGAAAGCTTTTTTATTATCAAACAAGGCAACAGAGCTACGAAGATTTTCGCAGCTTTGAGCTTTCTCATGAGACAGCAAGATACCCTTCTTGTCCTGCACAAGAGCAGCTGGGGCTGCTAGTTTGGGTTTGAATTTAGAAGGGAGGATTTCAGTAATGCAGGCTTTTGCAGCTGATAAGGGCTTCTTATGTTTACATGCGTGACCTAACATACCGGTATGACTAGTGTTAAAGGTTCGGCTACTAACTGAAGAGGGTGCAGTCATATGAGCATTCCCACCTTTACGATCCACTGGTAAGCATGCAGAATAAAATAAATACAACCTGTTAGCTGAAATGCTAGAAAGCTATTGAAAAAGGAGAGAAAACATGCTTGGATTTCATAAAATGCACTTTTAAAAACAAAGTTCAAAAAAAATAAAGGAGAGCAGAAAGAGAGTGCACAACAAGCTGCGCGTATGGGAGCAGGCGAGTGCTGCTAGTATTTCTAAAATGAGACGCATGGCCAGAAGCAGGCCGGGAGCACTTTGAAGGTACCGTCCTAGAAAGTGCTGAGTATCCTCAGCTTCCAGAGAAGCTGTGGCACCATGGAGAAGGGCACCTCAACGCTGGGAAGCATCAGGGTGTGATCAAGAATTCAGAGGTACTAACGCTGCAAAAATGGCTTAATACTGAGCTTGTAATCACACTCACTATGGTCTAACCATGATGCTTGCAAACAGATTATTCCTGGGCGGGAGAAGGACATCAAGGGCTGATTGCGCTAGCACAAGGAGGCCCCATCAGCTGGCCTTGCCCAAGAGCTGCCTGCTAAGGGATTCCCCATACTAGGAATAAGCTGAGTCTTTTCCAGACAGTGTGGTTGAGCCATGTTTACTTTAAAAATCAGTGAGTCAAAATAGGATACTTTTCAGGTCAGATCCAGTTTGGATTCAGTTGTAACTGCAGATTTTTTTTAGGTTTGTTTCTGATCTGAGCTCAAACTCAAATGTCAAAATACTCATTCAGGTTCAATTGAAATTTTGGGAACAGTAGTTGCTGTAACAGATTTTTTTTTTTTGTTCAGATTGTTTGACTCCCTGCCCTACAGGCCTGACAATGCTGAAAAACAGCTGGAACATGGAAACAGAGAGACCTTTTTGGTGTGATATACTATTTTTAGGGAGAGTAGCTCAGAAACCCAACACATTCCTCCCCAGTCTTCTCTTAGGTTGAAATTGGCTCAGAGACGGCGGCAGGAGCGGGGGAGAACAGAGCAGTTTCTGCTGCCCTACTCTCACTCAGACTACAAGGCCGCTGCCACGTTTGCAGTGCCCAGTGCCCTGCACACCCCTCAGAGGCAGGAGGCTGCCCAGCCCATGGTGCCAGGTACGCAAGGGCCACCAGGCCCGCAGGAGTGGTGTGGCCTGCTGAGATACTGCACTGGGAAAAGCAGGAAAGGCAGGGAGGGCTCCAGCATGATGAGGCCAAGGGAGTGGGTGGGGAGCAAGGCCAGGACTGAGCAGCCCAGAGGCAGAGCATGAGGGCATGGGGAAACAGTGACAGTTGCCTACGGTGCTGAATGGAGGGCGCGGGTCCCTGCTGGGAAGAGGAACCTGGATCAGATAAAGGGGGCAAGAACAATATTGGCCAATGTGGGGCTGAGAAGGAAAAGAGGGGATATTTGAGATGGCAAAGAGGAAAGACGGAGGAAACCTCAGTCGCCTTGAACCGGACTTCAAACCCTGCAGGAGTTTGCCCTGTATCACCTGGCTTTTGAAACCCTGAGCACAACCGAGGACAGCGGTTCGTGTGCTGCTGACCTACCTTTTGTGGAAGCAGAGCTAGAAGGTCGTTTAAGACCACTCAGCCCCTGCAGAGGGATATCTCCACCTTCCAGCACGCTCTTGTAGATCTGCCTTTCATTCTCCAAGGCAGCCGGGTCCCCCGGTGCAAATTCTGATTCTCGTTTCACTGCTTGGTAGCTGGGTGAACACGTGGAGTTGGTGAACAGTTTGCAAAACAGGAAAAAGGGGGAAGAACATCAGTGGGTTACTTCTGTTTGCTGACAGCATTGGGAAAAGCAAAAAGAAACCACGCTTACGAAGCCAGGCTGGACTGTGCATAAGGAACAGATGCTTCAGGCTGGCAGAACAGCCGAACGAGAGGAAATGATTACGTTGCAATTTTGTTCTAGGATTTGCACTGCCCTAGCATTCTGCACCTAAGGGAGCTGTCTCAGCTCAGTCCCGCAGGAAAGAGGTGGTAGGAAAGCATTCCTCTGTTATTTTTTAAATGAGAAAACAAGAGTAACAGAGCAGCTACATGCTTGCCCTACAGACACACAGGAACTCAGTGGCTGTCTGCAAGCAGATGATGCATCTTACAGCTCCCGGTCCTCTCTCCTTATGCACAGGTCATGCCAATTTCTTGGTTACAAAGCACAACTGTGCTAGGCTCCACCTCAACCAACTGAGCCTCCCAGCTAACATGAGAGGTCAAGACTGGCAGGGCAATTCTCCAAGCCCACCAGTAAGGTGCAAGGAAGCAGCAGCCTCACACTACGGACGCTACTGCCAGAAGATTCCCGGGAGGGCACAGCTCTTGAGTCCAACTTTGCCTCAGCCTTTTCTGTAGGAAAACAGAACCCTGAATTCTAACTACCATACACACGTACAAACAAAAACACGGATTCTGAGATGCATACTAAAATCAGACACAACTGTAATTTGCTAGGCTTTTATAAACTGAACATATTTATTACAAATTCTTTTCCTCAGTTATGAATCTAAGTGCCAGACTGGTCCCACATCTGATTTCTGGAGTTGTTTTCTATAAAAACATAAGCAGAACTATCATGGTATAAATGGCCTTTCCAGCTACGAAGGACTTGCTGAGCAATCAAACCAACTGTGATTTCCTAAGACCTGATTCATCTGTTACCAGTTCTTGTTCATCCTCAGAAAGACTCTTCAGAATAAGATATAGTCTTACACACAAAGCTACTCCGGGGCCAAAGCATGGCTGCTATAAAATGGGTCATCTGCCAAATTCATGGAAAACATTTTGAAAGCTGTTTTACCTCCTGATGTCCATTGGTGATTCAAATTCAAGTGAGTGTGGAGGTGCTGGTGGTTATGCTTGTGTGAGGTTAAATTTGTAAATGTATCTGGTTATGTTGGATGGATACTGTGCTTACAGGATAAACACAAGGCTTTGAAATACATTAGTGGACTGATTATGGGGGTGGAATTGCATAATGTCTGGATCAAAAAGATTTTCATTTCTGGACAAAGAAAATCAGGTCATGTGAGTGCAGAGCCATAAATTACTTTCTGGATAAAATAGCTAATGAAAAACAGCACCAAAGAAAAAAAGTAATATTGTTACTTTTTCAAACTAGGCAATAGTCAGAGACACATCTACAGAGCTATTTTGCTTTATGTGGGTTATCCCAGTCCCTTTGTCAGGATCCTGAGGAAGCCCAACCAGTTCCTGCAGGGAATAGCAGCTCCCCTGAGTTTCCTCTCCTGGGAGGTGGAAGCATTTTACTCTCCTCATTAAAAACCAAGGAGTTTTAATGATCCTCTTTTGGGCAGACACCTAGAGGAGTGAGAGAAGGCATCTGGCAGAGCCCCATCACTGTTGCTTCCTCATCAGTAAGGTGTGAGACTAAGGCAATCTGCAACACCACATGAATCAGGTGGGCAAAGACGACTTTCGCCCGGAAGCAAACCTGGTCTGCCTAGCAAAAATAAGATTCACAAGGTTTGTAACTCTTATAGAGCAGTCAGGAATTAGGATTCTCTCAGATTTTCTTTTATTATTTTGCTCTCTTTCTCCCAAAACAAAACCAAAAAGCCATGGGAGCATCTAATTTATAGGGATGAGACAGCCAACAAATGAAAACAGTACTGGTTTTCCTGCAAAATGAATAAAGACAGGAGGGAATGGAGTTGAAATAAGTACAGGAGACCTCTGGGGCAAACCATGACAGGAGGCAAACACATGTGATTTTAATGGGCATCTGGAGGAGAACATGCTTTTCCTAACAATGCTCTCATGCAGAGCAGATCACTGTGCCATGAGGACCGTTAAGTGTCCAGTCCAATTAAAGGGAGCAGCGGGGTCGCAGCAGGGGCTCCACAGCTCCTATAACTCAGCACAGTTCAGAATCTGGCCCTATTTTTTTTTCCCCTTTCATAACAAGCTTTCTCCATTTGCATATTCAGAGTATGCTGTTCATGACCTATTTCTCCACAAAAGGACCACCACATTGCATTTCTGAGAAATACTGATGCTACTACTGCTCTTCCCGCTAAACTCCCATTGCCTTTCATTAACAGCATCCTTCTGATCTGGTGCGCATAACTGGGAACCTCCAACAGGACCTAAATTTTTAATTTGTTTCTGAGTAACAGAAACAACCTCTGTTCTTGCCAGGCAGTAATGTAATTTGCATGAGTTTAGGGACAATTTGTAAACTTCATGAAACAAGTTACAAGTTTTGCTTGTTTGTTTGTTTTTTTAAACTGCTGTCTAGCGCAATCAGCAATTCTTAACTAGACATGCAATCATTCATGTAATCACTTCAGATTTTACTCAAGATCAAAGAGCAAATGTATCTGGGTTCAGCTAAAGCACACATGTAAGTCTCATGACACATGCACCTCTTCACATGCATCATCAAAAAAATAAAACCAACCCTTTTCCAACACCCTCAACCCTGTCCTACATACTCTCAGACTGTAAAAATGACATCAAAAAGCGATTTGAAAACTTACTAGGAAGACCGGTCTGTGGAAGTTTCCGAAGGAGCAACACCTGCTGTATTCTGCAAAAGTCCAAACAAAGGGGTCATTGAAATACACTTACGCGTGAGGAGAAAAGAAAAGTCTTGCATAAGAAATTTCCCATCTATTGCTGGAGTATTAGTTTTGGGGAGACATTGAGATTTAAGTCTAAATGCAATCTAAGCTGTCAATGTCTCTGCACAAAAGCAACAATTTTCTTGAGCTGCTTCAGGGCAGTGACAGGTTTTAGCACAGCCGATGCCTTTCACAGCGCCTATTCTTTTGTCTGCAAATGAGTCATTGAGAATAAAGCCAAAAGCAAGAAGATAACCAGCTGGGCCATGACCAGGAGACACATGCTTATAACTATTTCCCCAAGCTTTTCCCCCAACCGGTCACTGCCCCCCTTTGCTTTAAAGGTATATTACATTTCTGCAGCACAATACATTCCTCAGCATTCAAATGAATATCATAGCACTAACAGGAAAGCAATTTTCAGTCTAGTTTCCTTACTTAAGAGAAGCAATGCCAGCTGCACAGGTTCAAGAGCAAAAGCCAGTTCTCATCCGCTTGTTTTAAATCCATCTAACACTTCTTAGGCACATTATTTTAAAAAACTGAAGGCAATTTGGGACGAAATGCTATATTTGGTCTCCCTTTGTCTATCTGAGGATTCCTATGTATGAAGAAAAAGCAAATCTTGTGTTTGAAAAAGCAGCTTTTTCAAGTCCTGGTGAATCACCACAGTATAAAAAAAAATCAAAAAAGAAAAAAAGACGAAAAAACGGTGCGTTACCAAATTAATTTGTCATTTCATAGTCCCGCAGCCCTTGGGAACAGCAGGAGTGCCCGACCTGCCCTAAAAGGCCACGGCAAGGTGCAGCTTAAGGAAAATTGTGCAAAATCTCTTGAGAATATCCAAATCGTGGGCAGGCATGAGCTCCTAGCAGAGAGCAGGGCTTGTATGAAGGAAGGGTAGATGGCAGCACGCTCGAAAGGCACGAGATGATGACGTGACGCCAACCAAGAATTTTAAGCTGATTGCTGCTGCCTATTCATGTGAAAAATAGAGAGGGGTTTTTGCAGACACCGAACTCCAAACAAACCCTAAAGGGGGAGTGGGGCGGGGGGAGAGGTTGAAAGGGGGCAGGGGAGGCAGGAAATCACTGCATCTGAAATGGATTTCAAGCCGGATTCTCAGCATCATGTTCTATTATTTCTGACAGCTACACAGCAAGCCATGCAGTCAGAACGGTCAGAACCATTATTTATCCCAACCTCATTTAATAATCATCCAGCAGTGAATAGATTAGAACAGAGAGTTTGGAAACAGGGATTGGCAGCATGAAAAGAATAGGAAATACCTTCTGTAGCTTTTTATCTGGCGCTTTATAAAGCTTCTCCATTTTTTCTAAATCTGCCTCTAACTCAGTCTGGTAGAGGTAGAGGTCTTTTTCTAGATCAGTCTGGTTAAAGAAGGAGAAGAAGAACGGGAAAATAATGCTTAGGGTTAGGGGAAACCAAAGGAATGTTAATTTTGAAAAAAAAAAAGCCTTTTTAATTGAAAAAATAGACAAGGATGGTATGGACAATACATCAAAATTCACTAGTAATTAATCAATCATGTTTCAGTCATTACAGAGGTAAACTGCTTTAGGCATTCAACATTTAAGATCAAGAGATGCACAGGCCTGCTAGAATCTAATTCTATGAATCATATTTTGATAAAACCCACCTGTACAAAAAGAAAAAAAAAAAAAAAAAGAAAGATACTGTAACAATATGCAATATGTTGTTAGTGTAATTATCACTGCAGGTCAAGACAGCAAAATCACCAATCTAAACTATGGCTGATTACGCTTTAGGAATTATTAAATCAATTTACTAGTTACTTAATTGTTAGGCTAATGAGCTCAAGCCCAATTAAAAAAATAATCACTCACAAGCACACAAAAACCAAGCAATGCTACAAAAAACATATCCACACACACATACATACTAGATGTTGTAGTACAATGTACGCGAGACAGAATTACCTTTCTATCCTCTCTAGTAAGGATAGAGCAATCTCCAGGAGTATAATCCCAAATCTTTTTTGGAGGCTGATGGAAAGCAGAGGAAGGAAATGAGGAAATGAAGATAAGGAAAGACATCACAAAGAATATGGAAACTGGATTAGAACAGAGGGAGGGTACAACAGGGGGATTGCATCAACACTGAAAAAAATAGAAAAAAAAAGAGAGAAAGAGGGATAAATCTGCTATAGCACAAATATCAAGAGATCACGGGAGGTAAAAGGGAGCATGCATGCAGTCTGGGAGAGGCTGCTCTCAATGCTGTTCAAGGACATTTTTATTTTTGCAACATTCTCTTAGGGATTTTGCACTCTCTAGAGGGAGCCCACGGCTGGTGGTTAAAGCATTCTTAACACAACCAACAGAAAAAGGAGGAGGGAAAAAAACACACAGTCAAAAAAAAGCATTTACTTTGCTCATTCTTCTTTTCAAAGGGGAAGGGTAAAACAAGGGCCTTTCATAAAGGGCAGGGAGAGAGGCTTCCCACCCCCAGCACACTCTGAATACATACCATGTGAACAAATGGCTGAATTTCCAGTGTTGGCATTGTGGGGCAATGAGAATGCAGAGCTGTTATTTTTTATTTCACTGCTTTGGGAGGGGTGTTTGTGAGCGGCTTTGGTGGAAAGGGTGGGAAACAGGGAACTTTGGGAACTCGATATTTAGAAATAGAGCCTACACATGAAGATTCAGATTTCCAAACATGATTTTAGTGCTTTATGAATGTGCAGGCAGCAAGGGGAGGGTGGTTATTCAAAATTAAAGACCCTTTTCCTGGTATTCCTATCCAAGTAATGCCATGCTAATATCCGTATCTCACCAGAAATGAGCCTCACTAATACCCTCAAGAGACTTTACTCCTGCTTTGTGAAATGCCAGGATATTTACTGTGCATTGTAGATGGTCCTGCAGATATGCGGGTAGCAAGAAGAGAGGACATACAGCCCTTTTCCCAGCCCCTTCCTTCTGCACCTCGAGCAAACAAAGCACAGCCTGACTGAAGGTCAAGTTCCATGGACGGCCTTCACGGTGCTGGAGGAAGGAGGGAATGAAGGAAGGAAAAATTGAGCGTGTGGGGACTCAGCATCATGCTGAAAAAGCATCAATACTGCAGCGAGTGAACCTAGAACTCCCTGAAACACCAGACGTGTGTCGGCAGGGCACACGGAGCTGCCTAGAAAGGCATGGGTGATGCTGAGTCAGCAGTGCCACTTCATCCGCCCTAGGCTGGCGCCTGCGCTTTGCTCAACAGAAAGTTACATCCTGGTCTTTTGTGGGTGTTTGAAGAACATCAGTCACAACCTCGTAAGACTTGCACTCCCTTTTAGCCAGAGTGGTTCCTGGTCATGTCAGGTAACTGCAAATAAAGTCACAAAACCACGGGAATTCAGGTCTGCAAGTTGTAGGCCTGAGCTCTGCAGTGCTGGAAAAACAAAAGGCTAGGCCAAACATAATTTGTTAAAATCCCAGGCCCTAGTAAATGCAAACTGAAATGCTTCATTTAACCACAAGCTAGTCACAAGTGTCTGGTCCTCTGAAGGCTAAAGTGAGCATGAGAGCAAAGACACGTAAAGGGTCTCTTTTGGCTCTGGAGACTTAGCTCAAATAGAGCTTTGCTGAATTTCTGCCAGATTACGGGAAGGGGCATTCTCAGATCCTGAGATGGCATCTTCAACTCCAGTACCTGGCATAATGTCAAAACACAATGGTCCTGCTGTATTCCCGGGTTGAGAGAGCCCATCAGGGAGCCGGCTTGCACGCCTTCGAGCAAGAGGAAGGTGATATGGAAGGTGAAATGGAACGTGAGCCAAAGTAAAAGCAGTAAGAAAGCAGCTTTAATCATTAGTGCCTTGAGAAAGGTGGGAAACTCGCTACCAAAACACAGGTTCTGCTGGAGAACTGGATTGCTAATGCAGTCTGAGACATCCTCTTCCAAAGGAAGATCAAGGCTGCACGACTAAATGCGCAAGCACTTCTAAGGAAGATATACCCTCACTTTTAGAAAGGCCTGAGGGCATAAATGCTCTCTTTTCTCTGAGGTGTGAAGCAGTCAAAGGAACCTCATCCTAGAGATGACAAACCTTCATCCCTTGCAAGGGTGTGTGACTTACAGAGCAGAGAGAGGCAGGTTCCTTCTCACTTTGTGTCTAAGCTCAAACGTTGTCAAGGCTCCTTTTTCAAGCTCAGAACAGAAGGCCCATAGCCACAAAACATGGCAGTCTGCGACAAGGGAGGACTACCTGGCCTCTGAAGACAACTTTTTTCAGCAAAAATTATGCAGTTTAGATGATGCGCTCAGACGGGACACATTACTTAAGGCAACTACATTCAGTGCGGAGGAATTTTGCCACTTCTCAGAGAAAACTTAGTTCTAAGCGAAAACTGTCGTCTGGTGTCCACATACAACTGCCTTTGGAGTCTGTGAAGGTAGTACTGAGCCCTAAAATATACTTTTGGTTTGTTGTATGTGCAAGCAAATCTTAGCAATGTTCAAAAGATTTTTTGCAAAGGCATTCGACAGTTGATCTCAAGGGGAAAGAGGAAACAGTTCCACACTTGAATAAATTTAAGAAGCTGATACTGACACACTTGTGCAATCAAAGCAGACAACAGTATTTAATAATGAATTTAATACTGTTTAACCAGTAAGAGCCAGGCCATAAAATGCTACAGAAGTCCCTTGGAATATTTTCTTCCATTGGCTCTGTCCATTCATATGCTCCTCTCTCAAAATGCTCCCTGCTCTATGAAATAAACAAGCTTTAATTTCTCAGGCTGGAAGAAGATAAAGCAGGGTGCCCTTCACACACAGGGCAATGCAGGTGCATTTGAAAGGAAAGCATTCAGCTCTCAGACTCTGCTCTTCATTTCAGAGAATGGCCAGGGCTGTTTAACACAGACTCTGGCATGTGGGTGACAGGCAGCTATATGCATAAGGAAAGGAGTAGAAAATAGGGTCATGAGCAGTTTATGGATAGCTGGAAATTACTGGCCTACAATTTACAAGCCAAAGGAAGGAAGAAATTAGTTAATTTAATGCTTGAAAGTTCCTTGATTCAAAACTACCTAGCAGGGAATTAGCAGTTCTCCTAGGAAAAGAGAGAACAAGCACCTTGAAAGGGAACTATCATTAATGAGAACGGGGCACTACGGCTACCATTAACAACAAGAAGGCAGGCTGAACTATGGAAAGTTTGTAAACAGCTTCATGGAAGAGCGCTTTGCCGCAGCACCAGGATCAAGGTATGGACAATCACACTTTAAAACGAGCAGGGCAGCTGGTTCCAGGTTTGGAACTTAGCAAAGAGATGTGACAATTGTTAAAAAAAGGCAGGATGACTTGATTGGTCATTGCAGCTATCAAACTTACCGGTTTCCCAAACTCCAATTCCGAAAAGAATTTATACCAAGGTTCATTCTTTAAATCTATCTCTTCTGGGCTTATATCCCGAGTCTAAAGGAATTGGTGACAGGGGAATGGAAGAAAGAGAAGTATAACATTATGCAAAGAATACACAGAAAAGGGACTGTTAGAGATGCAGACTCCATGGTTCCTATTTTGAATTATGGATATTTAGCTTTATAATTTGGAATTTCTAAAGGATCTCTCCCACAAAAGCCATAAATTGCTTTGCAAACACCAGTTAAGCCTAATGGCATCATTGTGAGAGACATGAATATGAACGGGTTCCATTTTACAGATCAGGGACGCGCACAGAAAAGAGATTACGCAGCTTGCCCAGCATCGGGGGGAACTCAGCGACAGAGCTGGGACCCCACCAGTTCCCCAGTCACACTGGTAGCCACTTTCATTACAAAATACAAAGCTGCATGTACTTTTTAAAAAACATTTCTTTAATCTTTATTGGGCCAGATACAGATTTTTTAAAAAAAATATGTATTTTAAGACCTGAATTAAATACTGCAAAATACTGCATCTCTAACAGCACATGAATATGTGAGAAACTCTGTTCTTCACACTGCAAACAGAGTGAAAGGTGGTTTTCTGAATCAAAGGGGACACAATCAGAACGAGTACATTCCTGAAAGATCTCTGAAGGGATGGGTACAGAGACAATATAACTGATTTCTTCACAAATAAATGTTAGAGAGTCAGACAAAACCAAAATGAAGGAAAACCAGACAGGACAGATAACAGTACAGTTGAAGAGAAATTTCCATTTTGATCATAGTATCTGTTTTATGAAACACGAATAGCTGAAAATTGCAGCTGCTTAACAGCACTCCTGGTGATCCACACGTAAGGGAGTAAAGTCCACAGCTCAGTTTTATGAGGTGCCACTCCCCAGCAGACACCTAGTTAACTCCTGCGTTTCTGTGTACCTCCCCTACACATAATGGATCTCAGTGCACCAGAAGTATAAATATGTTGTGTGCAATAAACCAGTTCTCACTGGCACCAGCTGCCCCATCTCAACACGTGATGAGCCACACAGACACACAGGACTCACGTAAGTGTCCAGAGACCAATCCTAGTGTGACGGGGCTCCTGAGGCGAGGGAGCAGGGGGAAATTCCCAACAGCCCCGCGCTTTACTAGGTGCCCTGCGCTTACACACACACACGCAAAAAAGCTCTAGCAAAAAGGCTCAAAGTTGATGCCTGCAAAGGGGAAATGCTTAGATATGAAAAACAAGCCATTACCATCACATTTGATCTCTAAGGGCTCAGAGAAATATTGGGGCATTTCTCAAAGGCAAAGTAGAAACAGTACCTCAATTTTTTAATTTATTATTTTCTGACTAAAATTACTCATCTCATCATACCACTGTACTCTACTGAATATGATAGAAAGCCCTCTGACACTAATGAAAGTCTCTTCTTTGCAGTGGTTTTGGATCAGACACCTGATAATCAGAGTTCTGGGTATGACTGCCAAGAGATACCATGAATCTCTTGCAGCTCATAGAACCTCCTCAGAATAATGAAGCAAGGACTAGTCATTACACTGTATTACTGTGGCATTTAATGATACTGATAGAGATCATGAAGCCACTATTTCCAGACCTTTCTTCCATGTCTATGATCTATGATTTTGCATTAAAGCTCAAAACATAACTTAATGGAGCTATAGTATCCTCTTATCTTGGATGAGCTCTGTAGAACTTCTCTCAGTTATCCTGGTCATGGTCCTGCTTGTGGCTTTTAGACTCAAGAGCTCAATTAAACACCTGAGGAGGTCTGAACATGTGACCATTACTTACATCAGACCTTTCAAAAGGCTTGAGTGCACCAATGAAGCAGACCTTTTGCCACAAGGTTTAATCCTGTCTGTTTTCTGTGAGACAAAATTACCACTGAAATCATCAGAAAACTTTCTCAAGGAGTGACAGCAGAACTGGAGCTGCGATACCGTATTCAAACCACTCCTCACTGGCCCTTCTTTACTGGGCTGAGCCAATGCCCATGGAAATTCAGAGAGAACTGCTGCTGATTTCAGTGGGCAATGGATCATGCCCTGATTAGGAGCAACTTTTGAAGTCCATGAAGTGATACAGGTGTGAAGAGAATTCGGCTGCACGATCTTCAAAAAGTGACTGACTTTGGTTATATTTGGAGGAAAAGAAAAAATACTAAAGCACCAACACCATGTCCCAGATCAGACTTGATTCTATATTTCTACTGATTTAATTTTCACAGACACACTCTTGTGTTTCAGAAAAAAATCCATGTTACATTTTTCAGGACCTCTCCTCCACTACTCTGTGAACAGATCAAAGTTTGAGCTGTTAATGCAGAGAGTCCAGTTTGTACTCTGAATCTTACAGTCAGATGGTCCTCCCTTCTGAATCCTCCAAATTAATGTCTGTATAGAACAATCACACTTGTAGGTACCAAACTAGTTATTTAGTAACAGCCTCACTCAGTATTTTTCAGCACTGGCAGTGTCACACCTGTTCCACTGAGGGTCACCTCAGATGAGCTGTGGTCACTTATGCAGGACTGGCTGGTGGGGTTAGCACCACGTCCTTGCCTTGCCAAGCATCCTCAGCCAAGCCTGGAGAATGGGACTTTTGTATGTCCCCTGGCTGTTGCAATTCACAGCACTGCTTGTTAACTCAAACTGAAACTGGTGCCAGCTCAGTTAATACTCCAGGTTATGCCTCAGAGTAGCTATGGAACCAGCTCAAACTCAAATCCTCCAGCCCTGCCACAGAAGTGGTGAGCTCCAGCAGAGGAACAGGGCAGCTGAGGGGAGACTGCATTTCTTAAAGCACCTCAGCAGGTATCCCCATAGGGTACAATATGGGCGCTTAAAAATTAGTTATGGGTTTGAAGGCAATGACATAAGAGGAATAGAAATAGAAACTGAGCCCGCCTACTTCATTACATAATGCCTTCTTGCTGCATCAACTAATGCTGTGCCCTAGATAAAATACAGCTGGCAAACCAGCTGCTGAACAGGTCACAGTGTTAAACATGGATTAAAAACTAGGGTTAGTGATCCATACTTAACACAGAAAACAGCACACCCAAAAAGGAATAAAAAGCCTCTCAGACTCCCTGGACCTTGCTTTACAGAGAACGACAATGTTAAAAGTTATGCAAAACAGTTTCAGAACAAAATATATAGGAAATACACAGGAACGTAAGCATAAGGAATCCTATCGAAATGGGACTGGACAAGCACTTGGGGAGTGCACTACAACCACGGGACCAAGGCACAGACTAGGACAAAACAAACATTACCATCTTTTCGTTGTTCAGAACCGAAGACTTTCCTGGCTGATAGTCATAAATGCTCCTGGGCTCTGCACGATATTTTCTAGTATCCACCTTTTTGTCGGGAGGCTCCCAGTCAGTCCTGAGGAAAGAAAAACCAATTAGCCCAAAAAACGGTGGTTTCCATGGAGACAAGCTCTTTCCTTTGACAGGCACATCCCCCGTTAATCCTGGTTTAATCAGGGAACTTTTTATAACCTAGGAAGGAAGCCTGCTGCAAGATGAAGTGGATCGATAGGGCTCTGGACATACATTTGTTTATTTACAGCAGGTGGAGTTTGATGTGGCTCAGCTGCTGAAGCCACGGAAAGAGAGAGGGGGGGTTCCTCCAAGTATCTCTAATGAACTGCCAAACCTCCATATCTTTCACTATTGGAAACAGCTTGGCAATGGCTTCAGATAAGCTCACAAATGCCAGCAGGTCCAAACTTCAAGTTGAACGCAGGTTAAACTTCTTCGTTCTGGCCATATGGCGGGGTGAGGTGGCCTTTTCGAGAAATGTGAACCAACTAGTTCAGAGCAGTAGATATAAAAATGGCTAAGAACAGTGCACTAAATCCAAACAAGCAACGCTTTGTGATATGCCCACACAGGCACTCTTCAGACAGTATTAGTCACAAAACATTCAGGATTCACATTCTGTCATGTCCAGTTCCTCCTTGAAAAGTAGTATATTCAAACATGTTATGCAAGACAATCAATGCCTTTGAAAAAGCCCAGAAATCAGGTCATTTAACCTTGCCCATGCCGGCAACTAATTCAGAATTTTCTGTTAACACAGTCCCCTGGTTTGGCACTGAGGTGTGGATTTATCTCACCTAGCATTCACCATCCAACAGTGAGGCATCTAACCTGAACTGCTACCCCATGCACCCTACTGACCTGGTGTAGGATGAAGCTGCCCACTGAGATGCTCAGCTTTCTCCACTGGCTTTGGAGAGACACAGCTGACTAATTCTTTGTTTTTGTTATGGCAAGATGACAGGCAGCATGACTGGCCCACAAACACTGTGGGGACTTCAAGGAGGCTGCCTTCTGCTGCTTACATTCAACATGACTGCATAAATATTCCAACTGTAGAGAAACATCTCCCTGGTGAAATATTGTTGTTTTATCACTAAATAACAGGAAGAACTAATTATTCTAATCCTTTCACTCATAAGAGTGTTCTCAGAGGGCCAGGGCACTATGTATTCAACTGCTGTGCAAGGAAGAGCTGTTCTGTCAGCAAACTTGGTCTCCTGATCTGGTGGTCTGCGATGCTCACTGAATTGGCAATCTAAAAGTACAGCATTCTTCATCTGAGGCAGTAAGCGCAACGTAAGAGGATGCAGAAAACGAAGGAGAGAGGAGTAGTTTAAAAGCTAGGAGAATTGGGCAGTATGTAAAGTATTCACAGCTGTTTTGCTTTCCCTCCTTTTGATAAATGCATTCACTACTGTTATAAAGAAGTTTAAAATACCTGGTAACAAACAAAACAAACCAACAAAGAAAGGAGGGAAGTCAACTTGAAAGATAGGAATTAACAGAGCTAACTAGAACCTGCTTCCAATAAAATCCATGTGGGTAGTTCTTAAGGATGGACAATGGAAAAAAATTCCTATCAAGACTCAAGCTAAACTAAATTTCTCCTTTTCTGTAAGTACTGCTATTTGCTTATATTCTAAGGCACCTCCATGGTGCTACACGGAGCTGAGAGTTTCCACTGTGCCTGTGCTGTGGCAGGCACTGCACAGACAGGACACACAGGGACCACAACTCACCCCAGACAGGAAACCAGCTACGTGACAGAGAGGGTGATGCCTGCTGAAAAAGGCAGACACAGCGGGAGTTTGAGCCGTGACAACAGAGGAGCTCCCCGGTGCCCACCAGAAAAGTTGTAGCTACAATATCTCCACATCCTCCCCAAAAGTTGAGCTGGAGTTGTGAACCTAACTTTTGCATATTTGTCCCCTTCTTATGAAACTAAATTTTGCCTCTTTGCTCCCTTCCAAATTCACAGCTGGAAGAGATGCTCACAATATTGATCCCAATAGATCCTGATTCATGTTACCTTTCTGGGGCTGATTTCAGCGATGAAGTACGAGCTGGCAGTGGCAAAGTAGCAGATCTCTTAAAAACCTTCTCTGAGTCGATATTGTCCATCTCACTCCGGGAGCGGGGAACTGAAGGCTGGGTTCTTGCTGCAGAATAAGTTAAACATAGAAATGTTGGTGAATTGGACAGGAGGCTGATAAAAACATTCTTTACTTGCCCTTTTCTGTTTGAGATATTGCACAAGAAAAATGAATTACTTACTGTCCTCAGAATAGGAGTAACGAGGAGAATATGAATCAGAATCTTCATCTGAAAGACAGAAGCATTTTGCAAGTGAGCTGAAAAGGCCCCTGAAGAAGAAACACCAGAGACTTTTCTCGTTTCTTCTGCTAATACATTGGCCGTGAATTCAGAGAAATTTATTCAATACTTACAATTGAGAGAGAATCCTAGAAAAGAAAATCCGAATGAGGTTTAAATTGTATTTAAAAATAATTGTTGGATTACACATAAATATTAATGTAGTACTTGCTCTAATACCTTCCCCTAGGCTCTCGAAGCACTTTAAAAAAACAACCACTTTTTATCACAAAAGTCCTCCACAGCAAGTATTATTAGATCTGCTTTATCAAAAGCTGAAAGATAAATTGAGTACCTAAAATCCAAAGTACTTGCCTAGAATAACCTACCAGGTGCTAGACACAGTAATAGAGCAGAAGAGTCCTGCTCCCAATCCCATATGACAATCACTGGGCCTTCTTCCCTGTACTAAATATGTCCACCCACTCAGATTCTCTTTTAAGTGCAGATAATGTTCCTGGCATGAAACACACATGAATACTTGCACCAAGAGACTGTTCTTGTCCTGATGAGCTTACATTTTACACAGGAAAGATAAGTCTACAGAAAGCACTAGTGATACTCAAGCACCTCAAAACCAGCTAGCAAAGACACAACTCAGTGGCATGGCCTGGACTCCACATTCACACATAACTTCCTCTCATTGATAGCGAGTGTTGCAGTGAACTACCAAGCTATATTGCTTCCAAGATCAAACTGAAGCTTTGTGCTATGGAATTATTTACTCCTCATTCAATGCTCCAAAGACAGATGTGCTCCAAAACAGGGTGGCACGTTGGAAGCTTTACCACAGATGAGGCCCAGAGAGATTAGTGACTTTACCCACAGAGATCATCATGCGTCTGTGAAGAAACAACTAAAAGTTCCAAGTATAAAAAGACAGAAAAGCAAAATATACAAAGAAACCTGAAGGAAAAGCAAGCAAACAAAACAAAACAAACAAAAAACAAAGACAAAAAAAACAGACTAAAGAAGTGACATCAATCAATCACTGAAAAAAAACCTCAACTTCTCTCTGAAGAGCATCAGTGATGCCCTCCTATTGCACTCCTGCACCCATCTTCCTCTAACTGAAAGTCTACTTGGTTGCAGCTTCAAACATATGGTTATTAACTTCATAGTGCCTATTACATGCTTCAGGCTAAATAATCGTAAACATCTATTTTCAGGCCAATTTCCACATTATGGACCCAAATGAAAGAAAACAAACAATTACATATTTAATGTTATTATATGGGATTGTTGAGAAAGCTGACTTGCATTCCTGTATAAAAGACTTGTTTTCAGATAGCATAACATTTGGTATATCACAAAACTATCTCTACACATGGGAAATATCCCAACAAATATATCTTCAAAAAACTATCTTCAAAGCCATTCATGTCTCGGTAATTTTTTTTGTGCTGGTAAAATGAACAAAATTATTTACTCCCTTGAAGTAAAATGTATATATTCATTATAGTTCATCATTCAGACAGGAGTATCATATAGGAAAAAATGGACTTCAGGTAAGTATTAGTTTCCAATTGCAAATATCCTAATATCTACAATAACAAGGAGATCATGTATAATGTCTTCTATCTTATAAAGAAAAACGACGGTATTTCTTCCCATGCTACAGCAAGGAGTACTGAAACACTGAAATCTGTAATGACACAATAAAGACTAAAGAATAAATCAGAGACAAGTATTAAAAAGATATCCTAGCTCTTAGATTTGCATTCCTTCTTTGAGAGTTTCCTCAATAGAGGAAGGAATCACAAATTCATAGTTTCTAAATTTGATTCTTTTGTAAGGAGAGGCATTTCTCTTGCAGCTCCTAGAGAATCTGCAAAAAAGTCACTGGTTGGCCCAAATCTCTCAATATAAATGCCTTAGACTCTATAGATATTTTAGAGAGAAGCCCAAATAGTAATGTTTCTAGGAGAGCCTATGTATCAATCCATATTAAAAAAAAAAAAAAAAAATCTCTGATGTTTGGATTGTACAAAACCTGAGCACATTTTTTTTTTTACAGACACTATGTGATTGAACACATGGCTTTGGAAGTTTTACAAAACATTAAAACATGAACTCCAACCCATCTACAACATCAAGTATTCTGGGTTCCTTATTGAGGAAAGAATCCAAGCAGATATTAGAAAGTAAAACATTTCCCAGTGTAGTGATAGTAAAGTGCTTGGTCCAATAAAATTTCAAACAGCTAAAAACAACATATCACTTTCATCTGCACATTTGTAAATGCAGAGGAGATATTTATGGGGAACCAGACTCCTCATGTACTAACATCATTGGTTTATAGCAAACTGCATTAGTTCAGACAAGAGTAAAAAGGATTCTTAAACTTCACTATGATCGAGAAAATTGAATCACTGTAAACAACTTCTTTATCACCAGTTATGGAGGCGTTTTGTCTCTCTTGCATCCAAACTCACATATCATTCTGCCAACAGAAACTAATTTACATTTCATTTATGATTTGCAGGGCAGGACTCTTCATCTTGAGGTTTCACTAAGAAATGAGCAAATATCTGAAATATCTCTGTAATATCATCACACACACTGATGTTAGCAGTGAACTGCACCTTCCATCCCCTAGTCTTCTCGTCCATCTCGGCTGGAAGCCATATTGTATGTTTTCCTTCACTGTACCCACCAGATGCTCAACCTGAGCAGTGAGGCAGTTAGTTAACAGTCTCACCAGGGATGGCTTGAGGCACAAGCTAAGTAGGCAAGTTCCTGAACTGCAGTATCCAAAGCAGTACCAAAACACCAAAAGTAGCTTCCCAAACAGGAAGCTGCTGTCTGTCCAGTGTGTGCAGCACAGACCAATGTTTCTCCTATGCAAGTGTTTCCATGGCTATGCACATCTACACATAATTATAGGCTTATCACCGCAGTAAATACTTCTCCACTATCCCTGAAAAATGAATGCAAAACATTTAAAGAATCTGCTGAGCACTTGAGAAGGCTAAGGTGTTATTTCAGGTTATAAACAAGGTTTTCTGAGGAGACAGTCAAATTCTGTCCTTGCCTAGATATGGCAGTGCACCTAAGGCCAACCCTGAGAGTTCGTTACCAAGCTACGTCTCTTCTAAAAGATTATATTGAGGGACTGATCCAAAACCCACTGAAGCAAGCAAACAATTCTCCAATAGCCTTCTGTGGCATTTTAGGTCTGTCCCTAATTCTGTGTTAACATTAAAAACTAGAAGTGAATAATTAAATAAATCTATTGATCCAAGAGCAGGGCAGGAGAATCTCAGTTAAACCATGTCTTTACGTGTAAGTCAGCATGTAGGCATGTTAAGTAATCACTGCAAACACATGGCTAGATACAACTGACTAAGCACATAAAACCAAGCAAATTTCAGGACTGTAGCATTAGTCAAAGTCTAGTTTAAAAGCCAGAGGAGCACTGCAAAGCCAGAAAGGCATCACACGGTCAAGGCAATGCTTAGAGTGCAGCAAATCATTAGGAGGCAGCATAATGCTCAGCAACTAGAAAAAAATTCCAGGGAGAAAATAAATGGAGAAGGCAGCATTTGCGCAGAAAAGTACATATGATCCTTGATCATTACCTTCAGAGATAGGACTAGGAGTAGACGCAGGAAACTGGTATGTAGGAGAATAAGGATTGTCTTCTGCAGCAGAGAAAAGCAGTGGATTTTGAGACTATCCACCGTGAAGCGGAGGTACTGTTTCATCCCCCAATTTCCTATCACCATATGATTTTAATGCCTACTTTAATCATATTACAGTAAATGGCATCATACTTTACAACAGATTAGAAGGATTTAATTATTTTATATATCATACAAGAAGGTATACTGGGATAACTGAATTCCCAGTCAGCATAACAAATAGATAATGGCAATCTAGAACCTGAATCTAGTTAATGCTATGGTGCTATGGTACAGTTAACTCTAAGCACAAGACAACAGATACTCTGACTAAGCTTCTGGTACCTTCAGGTTTTTGCTGGATTTCAGGAAGTTCAGGAAATACGTACGTAGGGCAATAAGGGTTTTCTTCAGGAGTGTCTAAGCAGAGGATCATGATTTGAAAAAAGAACAGAGAGGAAAGATTTAAAGGGGAAAAGGGATGAGACATGAATCCATGCAAGCTGCAGAGCAGCCCCTTTCTTGCTGACGTTGCAGCATGACAGGGCCCAGATGCTCCCTTGATCATTGCTGCCTTGCGCTCCTGGACCTTGTGAGAGATCCTGGAAGCAGTGGGCACTGAACTCATTCTCCTCCCTGAAGTGTGAGCTCTAATGCTGCTGAAGAACCACCTCTGTTAGGGAGCACTGGGATCAGGAAACACAGTTAAACTCATTCTCATTCCATCCAATACAATGCAGTGCCTAAATATGCAAGAAGCTCATCACGACAGCACCTGCAGCAGCAAATACAGCTCAAGTTTTGCATGCTCTGTGTTTCATTTTAAAAGCGCAGTTCTGAATCGCATCTGCCTGGACATCAGGCTGCTTGGAGGGCTTCATTTGCAAATGCTACTGCAGCCATTTCTCACACAGAAGAACGTGAACACACCAGACAATCAGGTACAGAAGTGCCACAAAGTAGTGGATTCCCTGAGAATGCACCACTACAAAGTTTGCATGTGTTCACCACAAATTCAGATTTTTAAAGGAGAAAATTTGGGGTTTTGAAAAGCAGAGTGTTGATCCTGAATCCACTGAAATCAACAGGAATCTTTCCATTGGTTTCAGTGAGGCACAAATAAAGTTTTGTTAGGCTTTATTACTAAAGTTTTATAACGTAAATATTTTTCCTTTATTCACAGAGCAGTTTCAATGATAACCTGCCCTCCTTCAAAAGTGGGGAAAGGTTGGGTTTTGGGTTTTCTTTCACTTGCCAGTACCACAGTTCAGAAATCTGTTTTCTCTAAATATAGAATTTTTATCAGCTTTTTGATTTCACATCTCAAATAGTATTCTTTATTTCACAAAGGCTCTGCAGTTCACCTCTTAGAACAACTCACACTTTTCCTTAAATTTTGTTTCTCACTTTTGTCTTTAGGGATGTTAAACACAGTAGTTGGTTTCTGCGCACCAAAGCAAACACTAATATATAAACTTACAAAACACTGTTATTTAACATTCATTATAATTCTTCATGTGTATAAAACAAAACGTTATCAAGGCGATCTTTTAAAATAAATTAAAAAAAAAAAAGTGTTCCAGTACCTCTGTTTAGCTTGTGGATCTGTTTGAACATTGTCTTGTACCAGTCCTTCGATCTCTCTGTATTCTATTGGAAAAAAAATACATACACACATAAATATTCACACATGTGAATTCTGACAGCCTCTCAAAGTTTATAGGAATTTTTCCCGCAATTAATACTTAATGAACATTAAAAATATGAGTAATTTCACTCAGATGTCTCATATTCATGGTAGCTTCATGCTTGACCCAAGTTACTGTGCAAGCTCTGCAGAACCAGATTCTAACAGAGCTTATCTGTGTAGATCATGTGGAAGGCTTTTCAGAGTAACTTACTGACATATGAAGCACAATTTTATTTTAATTCCATATGTCAAACTTTTGGGACATTTGTGCTTGCAGTCACTGCTAAGAGTACCCAGATTTGACTGCCTAGTCTTGACTTGAATCTCTATGCTTAAGGTTTTCTATTGACCAGTTCTAGGATCTCAGACATACAGATACTTTGGTGCTAGTTACACTGGCTGAATATAGACTTTTTTCACAGTTTAATTATAGTTCACAAGCCTGTACGAAGTCAGACCAGATCTCACAGTAGTGTGTGCAACAGCAACTCAGCAAACCTGATGCTATTCTGTTTTGTGGAGGAAATTAAACTTATTAGCCTCAGAGTGGATTTGATTTCATTCATCTAGAAGTAGATGCATTGCCACATCTGGTCCTACACATTGATTTCCTCTATATTCAACAGAGTCTCAGACACATTGAGTTTTCAAGCCACTCCAGGCACTTATGTTAATGAGTGAATTGTTCTTTTCCTTTTAATTCCCTCAATCATAACTTAATTAAGTAGCTTTGAAGAAATATTCTCTCTTTTAGATAGCTAGAATAATATGAGATGAATCTGATGATAGCTCAGTCTGAGCCATCTTCCACTAACTTTCTGCACACTCTGGTGCTTCAGTGAATTCCCCAAGTCTAAAGGCAGGGAAAATCTGGCCCAGGTTTTATGCGCTGACCACATGTCCAGTATTGTCTTACCCTTAGTGGAATGCCAATATCATCGACGGAAGTATCAGCCATATGCTGAGGGCTCTTTACAATTCTTCTCTTCTCCTCCATTGCTCTTTTCTCACCTGGAGCTGTCTCCTGAATTGGTCTGTCCTGTGTGTGTGTCAAATATACTTTATCAGGACCTGCTCGGTCTGGCACTGGATCTGGAAATGAAAACCGGAGATTCTTATCTTATCCCAGCACCTCTCCACATCACCATACTCCACCCTTTAAAGACAAACAACTTGGCAAATTATTGATGAGACAGACTGTGTCACAGCTGCTTGTGCTCAGTGTCTGGACTGAAGATGTACCAAGAAAATGTCTGATTTTCTGTCTAGCATTCCCTCACGTACCCTTCTTCACAGGTCTAGCGATGGGATCGGCCATTGCTCGTGTGAGACTACAGCAGGAGATTTTGGTTTAGGCATCTGTTTGGTTTTTGCTCTTTTTGTAGAGGCGGTAGCTCTGAAATCTCCATCAAAACTACCCAGTGATACACTCCTGAAGGTCTCCTGTCAATGCTCCCTAATGGAAGATCCTATGAGGCAGTAGGTCCATACCCTCACCGCAGCTTGTGCGGCCTGACTAGGAGGCCGGTTGTTACAATTGGTACTCAGCTCTTCTGATTCATTTCTGAGCCCCAACCAGTGGAATTTACCAGCTGTTTACAGACTCCAGTGGTTAGTACATGTATAGTCAGTCCTGCACTGCAAGTCTGCATTGAGGTGGGAGCATGCAACTAATTAGAAGCACCAGCTACGCTGTGCTGGAGACGCTTCAATTCCTCTCTGACCTCAGCTTGTGTCCAACTGGAGAACAGCAGCTCAGAACAACCCTGCCCTCCATAGCTTCCCTGCAGAAGGGTTAAACTGTGACATGCTGTGCTGTGATTTTGGAAGTTCCTCTCACTTATTCAGGATGGCAGACAAGACAGGACTAGAGTTGCAGACTCCACGCTCCAGATGAGACTGCTTCCCTCCGGAACACCTGGCTACTGCCTGGCTGACACAGACGGGTGGCAGCAGCCACCACAAGTGCACTCCTTAGAAAGGAACCAAGGGAGCGCAGGGTGCTCTGAAGCTCTCCTGTGCACTGGAGAGCTGCAGCATGGCAACCTGTAGGCTCTGCCAAGGACAATTTCTGGGTGGATTTTCTGGAGAGGAAACATCTGTGAGTTCACAGTCTGCCTCATCAAGGCTTTGCCATGTCCTAACCTTGTTATATCACTGCATGCATTGAAGACAGAGAAAGAGAGAGGAGATGTTTACCCACATGCACATCACCATATTGCTCAAAGCCATTAAATGCACAGATATCTGAAAGAGGCAGTTAGCAGAGGAAAGGCTCGTGCATAAAGAAGCACTGGTCTGTTGGTATCCACAGCAAACACAATTCTGCTCTGCAAAGTTCAGCATTTGAAGGAATTCTGTTTGAGGAACTGGCTTGAAATGACCATCAGACTCAAGTTTTTCTCATCTTAAAATAAAAGGAAATAATGTCTGGAAATGGTCAAAATGGGGCAAAGTTTCAATAAAATCCCTGCTTAGCATTTGCATCCTGTTTTCCCTCCCTAGAAATGTAGGTGCACTCTCTTTTGGTCTTTTTGTCTTCTTAGTGAGGAGGCTGTGACCAAATGCATGGGGAAGAGGGGGCAACCACCAACTCTGTGTGGCTGCTATATCTGCTGAGGGCAAGTGAGACCCAGCTGTGACACAATGTGTTCCTGACCAGGGATTGCTTGGGCTACAGCAAAATAGTCTGCTAGTTCAGAAAACAAAAGAACTTGGAATCAAGAAGGGAAGCATCTTGGAAAAGAAAAAAGCAACAGGAGACCTCAGTCTGGGTTTGCAGGTATGCATTAAACTCACAGGTGAGAGGTGTCTGTTCCTACATCACCTACAGTGAGGGAAGGAGAGGAGAGAAATCTGTGTGAAACAGAACTCGTATGCAGCCCAGTGACATCCCAAGAGGTGACAGCAGAGGAGAAATGGGCTGGTGGAGCTAATCCAGATCCCGTGTAGCAGAGCACAAGAGAAAAATACAGGCTTCCTGTATCTGTAATATTTAAAGTATCTAGGAAGACTCTGTAACACTCTTTTTGCTCTCTTTGTCCTCTCCTCAGGGCAGTCACCAAAGAACAGCAGTATGCTTGGCTTCTGTAGCACATCACAGACTGACCCCTGTTATTCTGTGGTGAGAGGGAGCAAAAATGAACGAAAAAACTTACTGCCCTTCAAATTAGAGACTTTGCAGATCTGTTGCAAAATCATATAACTGCCTGGTGAGAGAGGACTGGCAGTGTATGTGCTTAGCTGCACACTACAATTTTATTGTATATTTCTTGAGATCTGGCACAAGTATTCCTTCTTGATCTTCGAGCCATGTAAACACTGATTTTCTTTTCTTATCTCCTCCCTCCTGGTCCATCCAAAGCACCTCCACCTTCCCTCCGCTCTGACTCATGGCTGTGAAGTAAAACATGATAATATGACCCAAGGGAATAAATTTAAAGGTCCAAAAGGAAGAAGATAACAAAAGCAATCAAAACGTATGCAAATCTTATGAGTTTGGAGGAATAGACTAATAATTTAGACGTTAGGTATATTAACACGGAGCATTTGGAGAAAAGAGTGAAGTCAAACATTCAGTGACCTGAACTGAGCCAGGACATTTATGTGGAGAACAAACTCATTTCTTTGCAGTTCCTGAGAAGTGTGTTTGCTTAAGATATTCCACTAGCTACAGAACAACAGCTTTGCTCCAGAAGAGGCAGCAGCTGGAAGGTAGCAGACCTTTTACACCATACCTGCCAGGCTACTAAGCCTTTTTTGCTGTTCTGTGGTAAAGGAGGAAACAAAACAAAAAGAAATACAGAACATGGGTGAGACACAAACAGCAAGTGCTCTGGTGCTGCATTTCTGACAGGCAAGAAATACGCTGTAGACAGAACAGCAGCAGCTGCTGGAGAGAATCTGTTTTCAAACACCCTGCCAAAGTGACAACCCACAGTCCTTGCTCCACACAGGAGCACTGTTGAATAACACAGTCTCATGACGCAGCGACCAATACATTTGCAAAGAGCAACTATCTGTACATCAAATAGAAGTAAAAAAGCTGGACAGGAGACAATTTAGAAACCAGAGGAAACTCACAGAATCAAAAAACTTGACAAATAACTCTGTTACCATTAACACAAAGTACATGATTAAATGATAAGGCTTTAGTATTTTGTGGGGACATAGTAAAGCATAATGCTGATTCTTGCTCAGTTTTAGTACATCCTACTGAGCTACAGATTCAGTGATTTGCTGACAGATACAGTTAAGGGTTAAGGATATGATTGTCAGAATGGTCCCCTTATTGGAGGATTTTCATTATGGGCTTTCCCAGATGGGAACATCTGTGATAGCTTCCAGGGTATTTGGCCACCCCAATATGGATAATCAAACCTGCTTTACAAACTGATGCCTAAATGACCTGCCAGCAGCACAGCTGGGAATGAACCAAGGATTCTCAATTCTCTGCTCTATACTGTCCCTAGCAATTAATCCATTTATCTGAAGCATGAAAGCCATTTAAAAATAATAAAATATTTTATTGACATATAAAATGCAGCCACTCTTGAAAGCTCATATGGTTAATACAAAGATTTCAAAACTTTACGTATGTCATCACACCTGTTATATATTCACATTAAACCATGCCATGCAATTCTCATCCAGGAGCGTGCTTGGAGGTGGCGTGAGACACTTCACCTAAGGAAGTGTGCAGTTAGTAGGAGTCCCTCAGTTGTACACTGCTTGCTAGGAGAACCAGACTTCACTACATACTGCTACTTAGTGGAACAAGCCAGCAAAGGAAGCTGCTATTTCTCCTCATTGAGCACAGCTCCCTCACCAGAATCTATGAACTTTGCTTTTTAATCACAGCATTTCTGCTCTGCTAATCACCAATGGAAAGCATCTCATATGCCTTAGTGTGACAGCTGTCAGCACATAAAACAACCCGCTGAGTGCAATGGGAAAAAAAGGGTTTGTAATCTGAAGCTGATTACAAGCTGATTTGCTGAATCTGAGAAGCAACTGGGATCTACCCACTGCAGAATTCAGTCTTCTGAACAGAGCATCAGGAGTACATGGGGTTTTTTTGCAAGAGAGGAGAAAGGTGGGAGTCAGGATGTCTCAGCCTCAGCCATCACCTTCACTGCTGTGCTCAATCATTAACCTCCTGGCACCCACAGGTGGGTTAAAGGGTCTGTGCTTGAGGAATCTTCCCTATTTCTTCTTCCTCAGGGGACAGGATATTATGGATGAATGGGCTTTATATTGAAAAAACTATTACATTTTTCAGGTGAAAAAGTTTTCCTCTTTACCTCTGACAAGAAGAGAGAGTGCTGATAGGTGGAAGCTGAAGCAGAGGAAGGTACTTGCTATCTGTCTCTCCTGCCTCCCCAGAGCTGGCTTGTAGCCCCAGGCACCTACCAAGCTGACTGAAGCTTTCTTCCTTGATTTTGTGTCCTGGGACTGCAAACAAAGGCCAAAAGCCTGTAGGCTATTCAGAGCAGGGGCTGAACAGAGGAATATAACTCCAGGGAGCAGGAGTCATTAAACATACCTTGAGAATCCTCAGAGGAACATTCAAAGACTTGAAATCGGTAACAAAAGAAAAGTACATGTTTGTGCAAAATTAAACATCAAAGAGAAAATTAATGAAGGCACTAATGGATATGAAGGGAAGGAATTCAAAAGCTACAGTATTAAGTGATGTATAACCATTGACCTGGGAGGCTGGGGTAATGCCAACCATCAGAACTGAGGACAGCCAAAGTTCTCTCTAACATCAGAGGCAAAGGGATGGTACTATCCGCTCAGAGGAAACTGTGGTGAGGTACAGAAAGTCTTTTATCAGTACACAGGACAGTGCTCAATCAAGGTTGTTCATGCACAAATCCAGAGGTCAAAAACTACTACAGTGATGGTCTAGAAGCATGGTCCACGCCTCTAACCATGTAGGCATCATCGTTACTTGAATGTTTTGTGCTTCAGCCACTACACCTTCCTGAATGTATCCTTGTTATCTCTTAGTAGTTTGGCCAAAACAAGTCCATGGCAAACTCATGCTCCAGTTCCTTACAGTTTAACAGCTTTGCTCAGTCTGAGCCACAAAGATCTATTCGCCAATCTTACCTCGGTTGTGTTGCAGGAGGACAATGGTGGGATTGACGATGGTGGTAGAGGGGTAGGCAGAGGAAGGCTTGTTGATTGATGTGAATGAAGTTGAGTAGTCAGTGCCAGTGCTAGGCTGGGGAACTTCATTTAGCACAGGACTAGGGTCCTGAAAAGGAGATAAGGCATCAGTATCAGAATGCAGAGCTGCTGCAACACTAGGAAAATCTTGAAAAAGCCATTTTAATCAGAAGAAACATAATCACAGCAGAATTTAGTAAAAAGGCATAAGCACAAACGTTGCCCTGCTCCTTGTATGGACCCTGCTCCTTGTTAATGCAATAAGCTTGCTAAGGCAGGACTACAATTCCTTGGTGTTGGTTTCTCAACTCCATCCCCCAGGAGGAGATTCATCTGCCAGACTCTCTGGAGCAAACACACGGTGGCAGGAATGAGCTATTCCGGTTATGGGGAACCAGAACATCAACCTGCTTCCCCTGACACCCACGCACACAAGCGCTATTTTCTGTTTTAAAAAGATTCCTTTCACAGCGAGAAATCAAGACATGCAAAACTCATGCAATTCTGAGTGAAACATCATTACTGCACCTGGTTTGGCAGGAAGATCAGAGAAATAAGGTTAACATCCTCACTCAGGAGACAACACACAGTGTGATACCACCATGGTTAAAATTAAGCAAAAAATAGATAGGGGATAAATAGTAGGACTATAGCAAAGAAGATGCACAACACGGCTTTGCTGCTGGAGCGTGGATAGCAAGCTGCTCTTCTCTCCTAAAGCATCTGGCTCTGTTATTTATTTTTAACTCACCTCTGGTAAATCATCATAACTCTGTAGGAATAAAGGCTGTGTCAGCAGGGAGACTTTAAGAAATAGTTCATATTTGAAAACCCTCAGGCCAGAACTACCAAGCCTTTTTTTTTTGTAGGAAAGGGGAAAAATAAGGAAAGGACAATGGCTTAAGACTATGTGCCTGTTTAAACTGCGATATTTCAAAATTTCTTAAGGGATTTGGATACACCATTTAAGTTAATGGGGAATGAGCATCTAAACAGAGTGAGTGTGGAATAATGGTGTACCAGATTTTTGCACTCCTGCTACTCTACTGTCAGACCGAAATGCTACAGGCCACTGATCTGTGAAATAGAGCTGAGCATTCAGGGCGATTTTCATCATTTTTAAAATAAATAAAGCAACGCACACAGAATATTGCTCCAGGAGAGCTGCTATTCCAGATTTTTCTTGCCAACCCAGTACAATTTCGCATATGTCGTTATCAGTGAAAAAGACTTATAAGATCAGAAACTCTCATGTGCCAGAGCAGGGGCTAGCTCCAGAACTCAGAGAAATCATGGTCAGAATTGGCCATAATAAGGACGAGCACCTACAGTTACTGCACTTCTGAAGGGAAGCAGCAAGAACAATCTTGTTCTGCTAGATAGAGGTGACCTTGCTGCAAGGAGCATTTAATCAGGTCATAGATATTTCATGATGAAATAGCAAGTTCTAATTAACAGTCTTCAGAACTAAAAGTCTCCGAGAGGTGCGACCACAGCCATTTTGATGGCTTTGGTAGTATTTCAAAAAATAGTCCTTGGAAAAAGGTGAGGAAGTTGGGAAAAGCTAGCAGAGTAGGGTCTGATGTTTGTTTGATGAATAGCACACAGAGAACCCATCAAAGAGGACTGTCAGGGCAGGGCAGGCTCAGTCCTGGCTAAGCCACCAAAGTGGGTGAACAAATACCTATTTAGATCATTGTGGAAAACAGTTCTGTGGACAAATGCCCAATATGAGCATGCCCTTAAAATAATCCTCTAAAACTCTCATATCACCAAAACCAGGTACAACTGGCACTACTCCTTTGGACTCCTGATGAATTTTTATGGACTGTAGAGCTGGTCTCCAAAAAAACACTTCAGCTGTTCTCAGCAGTAAAAACACCCACTGATTTCAACCAGAGCAGAAAGAAGCCAACGCTGAGAACTGCTGCAAATGTCATCTGTGGTTATTTCTCTTTTTCCACTTGCCTGTTACTAGACCCTTGTAGGGTCATCAAAAGACAAGAAGGTATCATCATGGGCTGCAGTGCTTTCTGCAGAACTTCTAGTCCTTCTATTACCAGCAATCATGTAAAAGAGCTGGCATTTACAAGACTTCGGTTATAAGGATGGTCAAGTAATGCTTGCTTCCTCTGCATCCTTAACACGAAGCTAACTTCCCTCCTTGCCCCCCAGAACTTTTTTTAGAAGACTGGAAGCCTAATGCATGAAAAATGCAGTGAAATCCAGGTTAAACTTGCTGCAGTTCTTCTTGAAAATTCTTAAGAACGTTCTTAAGAACGGGAGCCAGACAATTCCAAACTAAAAGGACATTCTCTATGTCTCCTAATCTACTGCGTGGTGTCTCCATGCTTGCAGGAGTCACTGGTCAGTACACACAACACTGCTTGTAGGTCACTGGCTACTGGCACTAGCAGCAACCTTAGTCTGATTTCAGCAGGCTTTTGCAAAGAGATCTAGATGGTCTCACGGCTCTAAGTGGAACAGAAAGCCAGCTCTAACCTTTAACTGCCTCCCTGTTGCTGCTTGAAGTGTTATTCAAACCCCATTTAAGGATGCTATTCAGAGAGTCTGAAGAGAACAGGCAGGTGCAGCCATTCTGCCTGCACAGAACTCATTATCCTGAGCAAGTGCTGCGGGAGGCTCTGGAGGCGTGTGCATCCCCTAGCACGAGGGCACGGAAGAGACAGATCAACGTCGTGCGAGAGAAGCCAGTAAGAAGACCCAAGCTGCGTAAGGCAGGCAACTCGCATGCACTAGTAGAGGACATAAACAAGGTTTCAGTTGTCATGCTGCTGGCAGGGAGTGAGTCAGCACTCCTCTCTCAAGTTTAGTATGCCAAGGAGAAAGTCATTTTAATCCGGTAATACAGACTTAGGAAAAGGGTGAGGAGGGTACTTGGCAAGCTTACTGTATGTGAGATGACTCCAGTGATTTCAGGCTTCAAGCCCCTGTGCAAAGCCCCCGTGACTGGAGGGACAAGTGAAGGTGGTGATGAGAAGGATGGCAGTTTCGGGTAAACGGGGGGTAACGTGCCAGATACGGAGGGTGCTTGGTTATGGTGGAAACCCCTCTGGAGGTGTGGGGGAATGAAATCGTCTAGAGTCGGAAAAGTCAAGGGTGAGCCAGGAGAAACAGTCTCGGGGAATACGGAGCCTTGCCCGAAAGGAACCAGAGGTGGTGGTGGAGAGCTGGAGCTGCCTTCTTGATGCTGTCTGTCTGGGTTAACCTGGAGGAGGGGGACTACTATAACCCCAGGCTGAGCAGTGCTGCTGGCAGTGGCATCCTGTAGGAAACAAGGTGTTGTTATGCAATGGGGGAGACTGGCACTTGAGACAGCCACGTAGTGTCATGCAAGGATGCACCCAAAATAGTATGAAGCCCCAATAGATTTTATTTTCTCATGAAGATAAATTTCTTCAGCTCTGGCCTCTGTGAACATGCAGAGCATTTCACAAAACCTTCCTTCCCCTCGCCACCCGCTCCTCTTATCATTTGCAATGAGGCTGAAATCAGATCACAGAACAGTTCTGCATTTCCCCATTACTTGAGAAGCATTAACCATCACATCACAGTTTGCTGCTTTTACATCTCCCTGCTTACCCAGCCCAACACAACCCCCTACAAACGCACACACGCAACCACCACATATCAATATGAGGGTGTTAAGTATTATCACACAGAAGACCACAGGATTCAGATGGAACAACAGACACTCAGAAATTAGGAAACAGGGGAATAAAGCATTAAGGAAAGACTGTACTAAATAAAAGAACCGTTCACACAGCTGAAAGAAAACAAGGTTATGGAGAAAACATGTACCATGCTGCGTCCCATTGCCTTGTACGGCGGCTGCCGCTGCTGGGTAAGGTAAGGCTCTTTTCTCATCCTGTCCTCTCTGGCAGCTGCGCTCTGGGGCTCTACCACTTTGTCCCTCACAGCTTGCGAAGGTGACGACTGAGTCCAGGAGGGCTGGCCCGCACCAAAACTAAGTGCGTCTTTACTGAGGACAATGTGAAAATACGGCCTGGGAGGAATAGGAGGAGGAGGAGGAGGAGGAAGAGATTTTCCAGTATCTGTTACAGAGGAAACAATGTCCGTGGCTGGTGCTTGAGTGAGCTCAGCGCCCAAACTGGTGCTGGCTGCTGGGTCATGTGCGGTGCCAGTGGAATTTTCAGATGCGGCCGAGCAAGTGCTGTTAGATAAACAAGCTACATATAGTCTGCTGACCTTTTTATCCGCTTTCGTCCCATGACTGGAATTCATTCCAGCCTTACTACTGGGATCTGCCCTAGCAGGGGTGTGTTGTGTGGATGATGTGTCTGACAACACTGAGCAACTTCCCAAGAGTGGCTGGCCAGCATGCACCTTGTCTTTGGGGCTTGAGGAAGGGGGCTGCCCCGCTTGCAAGCCTTGCTTCCCACTGGGGACTGCCCCATAGGGGGTGGGTGACGAGAAATAGGAGCGTGCGCTGGCATTTGGTGAGGCACGCTGCGAATAAGGCTTGGGGAGATTCGGGTACACGCAGTCCATGATGGGCACTGGCAATAGGTTGGACGCTCTCGTGTCAGTGCGAGGACGCCATGCAAAGCTTTCCTCTTTGGGGAGAGGAGGACGGGGAGGAGCCAGGGCCTGCCCAGCCAGGCAGAGGCGAGAAGAAGAAAGAGGGAGAGGAAGCAGCACCAAATGAAAGGAAAAAAGGGGAAAAAAAAACAATTTGAAAGAATGAATTTAGTCATTAGATTTGGGTTAAGCAGGTTTTAATACAGCAAGAATAAAAAGCAAATACAGTATCTGGAAGGCCAGCGCAGAACTCGCTCACACCCTTGATCTCACACATTCTCTCCTCCCCAGCACTACTCCCTGTGGCATGCAAGCCCTGCCCAGCTCAGCTCCCTGTCCACACGCCTCTCTCAGGGCTACATTTCAGCTACCTGTTGTGCAGACAGGCTTCATTCACCATTTCCCCAGGACAGCCTGAATAAAGATTCAACATCCTAGTTAACTAAACCCACACTCATGATGACCGTGTAACCAAATACTTCGCAGCACTGGGGCCATTTGAATTGCAAAACCAGATCCACAGCTTTAGACTCTCTCTGCCATTCTTTCGAAAAATGGAAGTTATGAAGCTGTGTCCCTGCTAACAAAAGCAGATGTCACATGAATATTATAATTTGTCATGTTTAGCTAAATAAAAAGTCAGCATTTGTTTCCAGCAAAAGCTGACACTCAAATTCTCTTTAGGATTGTTCAGTTCTAAAAAAGCTTTAAGCAAAACCAGAACAATTAAAGTTTCTTAAGGAAATGAATTCATAAGAATTTGCCTCCTGAGTCAAGATTGCTGATAGTGAAATCCTACTTTCAGTAAAGAAAAATAAATGCTTTACTGTTTTCAGTGTTTCTGAAGGTTGCCACTCTAAAACTGCTTGCTGATTGCCACTCTGATTCCTATCATAGTGAATTTTTACCAAAAGCCAAATTGTTCTGAAGCAAAGTAAATAACTTAGCAATAGAGAGGTTTCATTTTATTTACTGCTTTGCTGCCAACAGCTAAAACAAATAAACTGCTAGAAGGAGCAGAAATAAAATACCAGCGCAGTGAACAGTAGCTCCCTGCATTCTTGCAACTTAACCCTTCGAATACTATGGAATTGGGTTTTATACACGCACCCCTGCCACATCTTTATAGACAAGAGCCAACTAAACCACTGCTAAAATGACTCAAAGCAGAGAATAAGGATGCCTTAACAGTTTACAACATTCAAATCTGAATGAATACCACCTTTAAAATTCATCCATGCATGACAGTTTTGGGCCAGCAGCTATTTGTGTGACGCAGATACAGATCTAGGATGGCTTTATACAATCACAGCTGCCATCCTTTCCCCTGCCTTCCTCAAGACACCTTCCTTCCTTCTGCCCTTCCCAGATGTGTAAGGAATAGAGGTTGGTAAGTGTTTCCTCTGGAGGTTCTCCGGTTTTGAACAGGCTCATCCCTTTCTGTTCCTTAATCCTTAACCAAAGGACTTTGCCTGGAGAGTCCAGAGTGCCATTGTTTCCTGAGTTAGGCTAAGCCTCACTTCACCACTACATACCAACCTTGGGAAATACTAATTCACTAACTATGATTGCTGTTTTCCATTTGTTCCATTTCAGCTTACTTTGAACAATTATCCTTGAGAATCCTGTAAAAAAGTCATGTACAACAGTATTCCCTCTGTTCATTAACATGACCAAAAAGTGACTATAGGACAGCTGTTCTCCTCAGGCAGTAAACAGATCTGTCCTTTAGGAAAGACCTTTGCTCCTTTCCCATGCCTTCATCCAAGTTGTGCTCTCTTCCACCTCCACTTACAGTTTCAGGCATGGTGACTGCTGTCTGGTATTGCCAGGGATTCCTGAGGATAGAATCAGTGTCCCTGACTAGGGACAAAGCTTTAAAGGGGCTCCTTTTCACACAGGAAAGCAGTTTCTGAAGAAGAGTTTCCCTACCAGCTTTCAGACTGCTTGCTTGCAGATCAACCACCCAAAAGAAAAAGCACAAAGCTACAATTCTATCAACAGGTTGTCTTTAACAATTTACCTTAGGGTACAAGTAACGTTTCCCTTGATGACCTTAAAAGCCCTGTATCAGTTCTAGTGTTAAAACAGAAAGCCATTTCCCCAATATATTGTTTTTAATGCGGTGTGTGTAACTCTGCTTTCAGAGCTTTCCTGCAGCAACCGCAAGGAAACTGTCCACACACAAAAGAAAAAGAAATAGACGGCTACTTTACCGTTTCCTTGCAAACAAACGGCTTTGTCTTCCTTCTTCATCCACCAAGATGTAGCGTGCCTGAACACACTATCACCACAGCACTCTGCTGACATCAGGTAGGAAAAACTGAGGCACAGTAACTTACCCAAGTCTGCAGCAAAGTTTGGAGTTCGACCCAGGACTGACTCCTGACCATGAATCCAATGCTTGAACCCAGAAGATCACCCTCAAAGTCACAAAAGAAGGGCTTACCTGTGGTTTGTTGTCTGTAGAAAGGTTTGGACGCACACTCCTATAACCCTTGGCAGCCAGAGAAGATGTTTGGGCATCCCCATTGGCATCAGTGTTAGACGATGACGATCTCCAATCATCTACAGAGAAGAAAAACCTCAAATCACAGAGGATTCCCTCCAGCTACTGAAGAAGTGAAAGGAAGTTTTTTTTTTTTTTTTTTTTGCCAGGCAACAAGTAGCACTTCCAAGAAAGCAACAGAAGCAACAATAAATAGGCAATGTTTGTACCTGTTTCTGGATTTTCTGGCTCCAGACCTAAGCATTTCACAGAAAGCAGGGATGGAAGAAGCAGGGTGAAGGGTAGGCATAAAGGAAAAGAAAGGGGAAAAAATAAACAGTTACATTTACAGAAATCATGTACCAATGGAAGTTAAGAATCAAGCTACTTCACTTCAAACACAAAATTCTTTCTGCCAGGGCTGCCTAATTACCATAGAGACCAGCCCTAAACATGATGCCCTCCCTGTTTCTGACCTTTGTAAACACAAGGCAATTCATTCACAGCAATGAAGAAACAATTGTTCATTGACATTCTTATTTCTGAGGCAAAAAGGCAGCCCAGCTAGCTACTTTCTAAAGCTGCAACTTGAAGTCCAAGCGCCGCATGTTACTGGAAATGGAGGGCCCCATATTCAGCCACAACATAAAGACATACCTGTTCTTATCAACACTGCTCTGTATGATTAACCTGCCAACAAATAGATCAGGTTTTGCAGACCAAGTCTGCGTGTAAGAGGGAGGGAGTATAAAATATGATGTCATCTTACACCCCAGTCCTTGCAGCTGCATGCATTCAGACTAGTTGGTCTCATGGGCTATTTACCTCCTGCCTACTAAGCTCCTCCCCATGTTAGTCATTTTGCTGTTCAGGTTGCACGCACAGAACTCTTCCAGCTCCAAAGTGCATTTCATCAAGTGATTGAGAGAGTAAGCAAAGGAAGTATTAATGGACTCATTTCCATAGTAATGGGCTCATTGCCATTCAGGCTGCTGGAAATTTATGAAGCCATCAACCGAGAGCAGGGAGGCAATGGGAGGCAGGAATGAAGAAACAGAATGGCAAGCATGAAAAGAGAGAAGGTCACAGGTGGGGCAGAAGGGGAGGAAAAGAGGGAGGCAGAAAGCAGCACATTGGGGCTAGAATTAATGGACGCACTCTCCCTATACAATAAACCCTGAAACTATGTAGGCTTTGCTTTCAGTGACAAGGTTCACCCCCTCCCCTGTTATCGGCATCTTGCCTTTGGGAGTTCATCCTCCCTGCCAGACCCACGGCACTAGCCAGGTTTGCTATGCTTTGCCTGTCTCCTACAATTAAGTAATTACACATCTGCTTTTGAAAGACTGGGGAGCTCTGTGGCGACACTGTCTGTCTGGGACACCATCCCGGCTCCCCTGACAACTGCAAGTGAACGCTGCCGCGGCAGCATCGCCGCCCGGCCGCTTCCGGCTCTGCCTCACGCCTGGCATAAAAGGAGGAAAAATGGGTCTGCTAGGAAAAAGAAAACAAACAGCAACAATGACTTCATAGTTTTAGGTGCCCCTTAAAGCAACAGGGAGCTGTAAACAAACTTTCCCCAGCAGTAACCCAGAGTAGCAGAGGACTCTGTCTCCCTCCACTGGTTTTGTCCTTCCAAGAGGCTTATGACTCTACTATGGGACTTAGTGCTTTGAATTTTAGTCACTAAAAGATCATCCGCAGGTCCTGGATTAACCTCATATGACATTACTGCAAGTTACATATCCAGTTAACCTTTTACCCACAACACCTACTTTCATGTTGCTCAACATCCTGAGGACATGGCGGCGAAGAGAGATTCTGATTTTCTTCGGAGGCTGGAGATGCCCGGAGGGTCACAGCTCCTTTTCCACTACAGACTTTGCTGGGATCTGTGTCTAGAGGAAATGCACATGCACAAAGGCAACACATTGAAACCGATGATACAACATTAGGAGCCATCAGAGCTCTATGGAGTAACTGCAGCATGGCTGCCTCTGGGTGAATCAATCTAGTAATGTTTATGTGGATGAAGATTAGCTCTGGATTTAAAGCATTGAGAAATCAAAGCGGTTTCGTATTCAGGTAACTGATGAATGTAGAAATAAGATCTGAGTCAGTGTAACAGAGCTAAGAAAGCAAGAAAAAAGATGAGTGCTTGAACCAGATTTCATAGGTCCATTTGCTTTATTAGGTCTGCTTTCCATGGAGATATTGTGCTAGTAAAGTTTTCTACCTTTATCCCTGTGGCTCTGCTAAAGGGATGTCCCAGTGGTACAAAGCAACACAATTTGTGTGCTGAGGCCTTAGAAATGCCTTTTGTGCAGGACTGAAAGAGAAAAAGTGTCTTATGACTACTGAAGGACAAAATCTCATAACTATGCTGAATACAATCAAAGGCACTGCAAGTCACTTTCTCACCATCTCCCTCCTTTCATGGCTGCCTTTAATACTCTAACACAGAAACTCGCTCACCAAAATTGAAAGAAATTTAATATGTACCTGTTCAGATCACCTTGTGAGCCAAACACCAGATCATGACAGCTTCCTTGCTGAGGTCTTCAGCACAGCTTCTTCGTGGGCTTATCCTTCTGGCTTTTTCCCATGCCATCCCACTAAGCAATAACAAAACTCAAGGCTGTCTCGCTCCTCTTACTAAAGAACTTTCCAGTGAGTTGTTTCCTCTGCGATATCTACTGGAACAGTAAGCCTAAAGAGTCTCTCACTTATCCAAGCTACTTCCCCTGGAAAACACATCCCTTCCCTTTCTTGTGCACTATCTACTTCTGACCCTGCAATGACCATCAGTGTTTTTACTCTGACCTACCTAAAATCAGCTGCCAGCCTTACCAATCCACAAGGAGCCTGAAAAGGTTCTGTGCAAATGCTACGTTGCATAAACGGCAAAACAAGGTTCTCTTTATCCTTGCAAGATAAGGATCACGTTATCTCTGCAGTGAAAAAAAACGTAGCTTTTCTCCAGAAACTAGTATTTTAATGAAAGCTATGTCTTTTGAATGGAGGGAGAGGGCAAAGGCTGCTACTCACTGCCTAGACAACAACCCGTGTTCGTGAAGAACAGTATCTCCCAGCTGATTTCAGTAAGAAACACTCAATTAAACCCACACCAGCACAGTGCCCGAAGACTGCAACAACAGCTCCAAAAGGCAGCTTCAAAATAAGGAAATATCCCCAGTATCAGATGGATAAGAGCCATATGGGGAGGGACTCAATGAATGCAAACATCTGATTCACACTGGAAGTCCTCTACACTGGAATTACAATGTCTAAGTTTTTACATGAGCTTCCAGTGCTTTCGGGCTTTCTCAAAAAGGATAGTTTCAGGTAGCAGATTCCACTGGAGGAAAGATGGAATAAGTAGGAAACCAAAGGAGACTTTCAAATCCCCTAGTTCAGCCTCTAGTTAACCTGCAGCACTGAGGTGGCCCTTAATTATGAAGGAAAAAGCTATATGCATATAGACAACCAAGTAGTACTTAACCCTGTTTTCAGATTTTAAATATGCCAAATTTGCATTCCCACCACACAACTGCTCATGCCTTAAGGTCACCCATATGGCTGGATGTTGACTTCTGAGCAATCTTCACATGATCCAAGCATGAACAGAAAACATTCTTGCTCAAGACTTCAGTTCTAGCTATCATTCACACCCACACAGGACAGCACACAGCATCAGGACTCCACCAACCCCTGTTTAGACCAGAGGATCAAGGTTTAAGCTCTAGAACTCCATTTTGGGGAAAGCTGCATCTCTCCGAGATGAGGATTATACTGGGGTAGCTGTTCCTCTGAGCTCCTAACCCAGATTGTCTTCACAGGCATTGGAGAGAAAATAAAAACATCTAGAGCACATAACAAGGTAAATTCTGCCATCATATTGCAGGAGAAAGGCCTCCAAACTGCTCATTTGTCTCTGAGGATTGCAAGAGTCTAAATCTCTACATCAGCAGTATTTGTTGAGAAAAATCCTAAACATAGTCCTCTGCGTCGGAGAGGTTAAAGCAGCTCATAGTCCCCACGCCTTATTAAAGCTCAAAACGGACATATCAGCATCTTCCTGAACCAGGGCTCCAGAGGCTGGGGGTGGAGCTGGTCCCTCTCTATTACACAGCCTATTCCTGACCTAGGGCAAGCAAAGCAGCAAAAGCAGAAAACATCTCAGAAAAGTACCTGCTTCTAAACCCCTCCTCACCAAATGTTTAATTTAGTTCCTTTCCTACTCCTCTCCTTTCTGGTCAACATTTTGTTCATTGCTCTTTAAGTTGCTGAGCAAGTGAAAAGGTTTTTCTTGATCATTTTGGCAAAAATAAACATATCCTGAGCACACTGCAACAGCGCAGTGTGAGCAAATAAGGCCTAGAGATGACAGACAAGGCCGGAGGGGCTTTAAATGCCATGTTTTCCTGGTTGAAAGGCAGGTGTCACACAGAGCGCCCATCTTGTGCTGCACTCTGACACTCCCTGTGGCGGCCTCCCCTCACGTGGCCGACGCGCCCACTCGCCACAGACGCTCCCCGCTCGGGCTCTTCTGCGAGTATCACGCAAACGTTGGCTTTGATGGGGTGTCAGCTCCATCTCTGCCACCAGCACCAGCGGTTCTGCTGATCATTAATCTTTCACAGATGACCAAAAAAGGCTAAAATCAGTAGTCAGGTGGTTAGTCTGGGAATCTACCTCGGAAAATTCACCCATGGTCCAAACCTCCAGATTCTGTAAAACAGCCCTTTTACAAGGTCTAGTGCAGAGTGAACAAAAGTACATTTATTAACTGTTTTCTTAAATATATCATAAAAATTCAGAAATGAGAGTGAATTTCTCCCCTCAAATCCAACCACCTCTAAGCTTTGTTTTCAAAATTCTGGATATAAAAACAATTCTCGAAGGCAATGCTGTCTTGATTTCTAACTGCATTCTCACAGAAATCTGCCTGATTTTTTTTCCACTAATGTCTTCCACTGCAGGATGATTATTTGACAAAATGGAAACACTATGAAGAAACCAATCAACTTCATGGAAATTCTCACAGCAAACTACCAAAGCATTTAATTTTGATAAGATTCAGGCATTTCATTTTTACTTATTATTTTTATCTTTGTACAATGTATTACAAACGTAATGACAAAAGCCAAAACAGTAAGAATCATAAAATAAATGTCCTGAACTCAACAAAATTAGAATGCTTTGAAAAGGTGTGAAAATGAAATATCATTTCATTTCAGGACAGAAAGACAAACACCTATCATTTTGTATTTCCTCCCAATTAAGACGAAATGAAGGAAACAAAAATCTGAATCTCTCGGTATAGAAATTCAGTAGATGGTAACAAACACGATATTAGCACCATACTAGTGCAATGGCACACACATGCGGAACACCAGAAAAGACAAGCATCTGCTAAACAAGCATCTGCTAAACTAGTTGGACTGCCCAAATTCAGCAAAGTACAAAAATAATCTTGCACTTTTACCTGGAAAACATGTTTTTGGGGAATGGGTGACAGCGAGCCTATCACCCTTGCTTATCCATACAAAATTTCTGTGAAGTCAGTGTATGTACAGACAAAGAAAAAGAAAACCATTCCAGAGATGTTGAACTATGCTTGAACCGGTAGCATAAATTCTCCCATGTCTCTTTACTTTGATAAAGATCAAAGACATTCAAGAAATATTCTTTGATTCAAAACGAGGTTTGGTTCAAAACGAGGCTGTGATAACAGTATTATCCATTCCCAAGCATTACTGGAAGAGCTTACAATGATCCCAGATTCGGGTAGGCTCAACTGTGCCTGCAGAGCAGCAGCACAATTGAGAGCAGCATTGCATCATCATGAGCTAATTTCATTATCTACTGAGTCAATCTACAGCTCTGGAGGATGAAGCTAAAAACTAGCTGAAGCAAGTGGGTGAAGCATAGAGAAAGAAAGACAGAGGAAGAGAGAGAAAGAGAGAGCGCAAATAATGGCCAACTAATGCACATGGGGAGAGAGAAGAAGATACCTGTAGGCAGCACTAGGTGAGGAGAACTTTTCACTTTCTTCACAGGGATTATTTTAACGGCAGAAATAGAGCGTGTACATAAAGGGACGTCAACAGCTGCAAACACAAAAGTGTAAATGGCACATCCAAAAAGGAAGAACAGAGTTGGGAAGCATGCCACAAAGGTTTCTAATGTACTTGGAAACACAATAGCAGGAAATTTCAGAAACAAAAGCAGTCCAAAGAGCAGTGATGCAATCGTTAAAAATATCCTCTTGTTCACCCTAATTCAGGACATGCCTGTTTTATGCAGCATACAGAACTGCTTACCAAGTTGCCTGACTGCTGCGCAACAGGGAAATGAATCTGCAAGAGTTAGTTTTTAGAAGCTACTGATAAAGTTTAGTGTGATCATTTAGCTGAGATATACTACATGCAAAAACGTTAAGTCAACACTAAAATTGCTCAATTAAAGCAAGGTAAAATGAAAAAACAAGGTGTGGAAGGTTCCGAGAGGAACATTATACCAGCCACATCATATGATTTCTGGATTCTACGGTACTTATTTTACAAGATCAGCAATAGAAAGCAGACACACATGAGATAGTAAGGAAAACAGGTCCCTGCCACAGGGAAATTATCAAAATACCCAGTTCATAAAAATCCACTCATTTAAACAGTAAATCTAAGAGATCACTATTAGAATCTACCAGCTAGTATACTAATTATATTGAATACATTTCTATCAGAGACACTGTTTTTAGGAAAAAACTGTATATATAGCACTGTGCAAAACCCTAGCAATTATTACAGAAACTCCCAAAACTCCTTATACTTCCTCTCTAACTCCACATTGCAGCTAATGTGGAAGTCTATTTATAAAAAGACAAAATAGAGAAAGAACGGCAAAATCACTTGTACATGAAGCTCAACTGGATTTGTCAAGATAAACACCTTGTAAAATGTGGCTCCATAAAAATAACTTGAGTTTGGCTGTTGATTTCCACAGAAGCAGAGTTTTCTTCTTTCAAACTCATTTGTTTTCTGTGCATATTAACTGGAAAACACTAGCTGCTTCCTTGGAGTCCCTCCCATCTCCTTCTGGCCTGCAAAACAGGGGTTAAGAGGAAATACTCTCCACACCCCCAGTGCCGAGCACTATGTACAAGCAACTAATCTCCTGCCTTCAGGATAGCGGCTCTTCCAGAGAATAACTCGGAGCATCTGCCTGGCCCTCAAAGAGGAGCCAAGCGAGACCGTCTGGCTGCCCCTGCCAGCTGGAGCGAGCGCTGCCGCCGGGTGCTGCGCGCACCTCCCTCTGGTGGCAGCTCCTCCTGGTCCGAAAGTGGAACGCACAGATTTCATCTACCTGGGAAAAAAGGCTCTCAACAGGATAGGGGAAGAGCTTGAAAGATTTCTCAAATCTCAGATAAAACTTAATTTTTGAGGAAATTGGTTTTAACCAATTTTTATTAAACAGGAAACAAATCACATCCTATGCTCCATGCCGCTTCCAGATCACTGGGGACTCTGTGAATACAGCTGAACCCAAATCCAAACAGCCTGCAGTTTAAACAACCACCCTACTCATGTTCTGCTCTAACTGACTGAATTCAACCACCTACGACACAGTGAAAATAACACTGATCTATATTAAAAAAAAAAAAAAAAGGAAAAGAAAAAGGAAAGGAACACAGCCAAAAAACACCCATGCAAGCTCGCACTTTCACCCTGCCAAAATACATATAATGATCACTGTGCATTGTTGGATGCTATAAAACACAGTCCCGACTCATTTACTTTAACATAAAGACCGTTCTCAAAGATGAGTTTGGGTTCTAAACTGCTGCTGCTAATGACAGATTTCTTTTATTTCTTAGATAGTTGCTTCCTACACTTTAATCCTTGGCCAAAACCTTCACCCTGCATTGAGGTTAACAGGATTCACACAGAGGTACCCAAACCATGCTGTGTGGATGCACTGAGCTCCTGAGACATGGGTGCTCCCAATCCCTGCAAGGACAGGGGGACACACAACCTTCTTCAAAACAGCACTCAAAAATTTATTACCAGGCAAATCTAGCCTGTCACATCTTGTTGCTTAAAGGACAAAGAATATTAGTTCAGCTCGATGCTGCTGCTGGCATGGTGCAGCACAACACTTTTCCTGTATCAGTACCCAGGAAACTAAATTTGGAAGCTCCTTCTGCAGTGAACACCAGGAGAACAAGCCACATCACTCAGCCGACATGCAGGGGGAGCTGCGGAGATATCTCTGAAGCTCTTAACCCACCTTTTTCTTGTCCATTGCTGCTCGATATCAGCCCGTTGACAACTGTTTTTGCAGCATCAGTTTCTTCGTGTTCTGAAAGACAAAACACAAGAGCAGATTAGCTCAGTGTTAGAACACCTGCAACTGAATGCAAGCTCTAACTATGAGGGGATGCCATAGATCAGCACTGTATGATTCAGGAACTGATATTCCTGTCTTAAGTGATGTTGCTTGGAGACACAAACCTTCCTCCTTGCATGAGACCCATTCCTCCTTCTCCTTTGCCCATCTGGATTGCAGCCTCATTGAAACAGAGACTGTCCCTGTACACGCATGTAGGAGGCCTTTGTACTGTAGTAGAGAGAGAGTAACTGTTCTTCACTGCTGAATCTGCCAGATGTCCATGCACAAGTCCCAGACAAGGGACTTTCCAGAAGCGTGCTAGGTTACGGCACGCCGGACTGCCCTGTAATGTTCTGATACCTGCTGACCTTGGGGCTTAAGGGAAACAAGGAGAATACCTAGCTTTAGCTGTCGCTGACACGTCAAGGTTGGGTTCTCAAAGCTGCCGGGATTGTTTTCCGAGTCTCCATGTCTTCAAATTTGTCATTTGAAGGAAGTCTAACATGAAATCCAGCTTAATGTGAAATCAGTATTTGCTAGATTTAGGGTCTATAAAAAGATTTCAAAGATCTCTGTTGGAGAGAGAGGTTTTCAAATCTGCAAGGTTCTCAGCTGACACAAATAAACCTTGCTCTGGCGGATTTTGTGAAACAGAAGAGAGTGCTGGAAAGGACCTCCAAGGTCATCTAATCCATCACTTAACCCATGGCCATCACTTAACCCATGGCCATACCTGTGTCATTGCTGACAAGCATTTATCTAGCCAGTTCATATGAACTTCCAGCAACATCCCAAACCAACCTATTCTAGTGCTTCAAACCTGGAACTTCAGAGATGTTTAAGTCATATTCCTCAGCCACATTTTTCAGATCTCTGATTATTTCCTCATTTTTTGCCTCTGGACTCAATCCAGTTGGTCTAAATTTTTCTAATGTCAAGAATTGGACATAATACTCCAAATAAGACTTGACAGAATGATAAAATCAGCAGAGATTATTCCAAATGTCCAACATATGACACTTCAATATGATGTCTACATTTTTTTTTGCAACAATATGAAAATTGTGCAATTTGATTCTGAGTGTTAGACAGACGAGCCCTGAGGTTCTCCCCATCTTACCTAGCCCTGTTTGCTGTTCCCACATTTGCCTTTGAACAGCTGCTTTTTTTTTTTTTTTCCAATCCAGATGTTAAACTTGGCATTTGCCCCTACTAAAACAATCATTTTTTCACAATCATTCCTTCAAGTAATTAACACAATTTTGATTTTTGGTATTCCAAAATGAAAGAAGTTGAAGTGACCAACTCCTGGTCAAGATCTGACCATTCTAGTAATTTTTGAGCTTTATGAAACAAATTTAAAACAGCAAAAATCAAGCCAGGATTTTTGTTTTTTAACTAAGAAACTGTTTCACTGTTCCATCGATGGTCAGATTCCCTGAGCAGGGAGCACTTTCAGAGAGCTTGGAAGAAGAGTCTTTTTTTTTTTTTAATTTAAAAAAAAAAAAAAGAAAGAACAATTGCATTACAAGCAGACAGGAATTATTCTAGTAGTAAAAACACAAGTCAGTGAAGACAAGTAGAAAATAACAGACTTACCAGAGCTCATTGTGGCTGAGGGACTTGCCTTTTTCACTTCTGGATTTTCTTTGTCTCTGTTTAAAATAAAAGAGAGAATGATTACATTATGTTTCATGTCTGCCCAGACTGCAGTGCAGCTGAACACTCATCACGGAAGTCAACATAGGAGACACAGTGTCTTCAAAAATTTATTTTCTCAACTCAAAAGAATTTAGTTACGTTTTTTGTTAGTAATCAAAAATTAAGCAGGATTTCTACCCAAAAATAGATACTATTAAAAACATTTTCAGATTAGTCCTCAAGATTAAATCACAAGATACCAACTAAAAAATAAGAGTCTGTATTTAGCCAACTGCAAATTTGGCTAGTCTCTAATCTTTGAAACATGCACCATTAAAATACATATAAATAAATAAATATACATATATAGCTCAATGACACTAACTCGAAGCACAGGAGTTGTTCAACCTAGCTCCTCAACCACAGCCAGATTTAAAGGTGATCTGTCCAGATCACAGTTTGCCTCTCCTTTGGAAGACACTACAATACAGATGTGTGAGTCATCTATAAAAAGTCATATTAGCTTCTGCCCCAATCACTTCCAGTCCTGCTTGCCCCTTCTGAAATTAAAAAGAATACAAAGATCGGGTTAGCATTTTCTGGTATAAAGCTTCTACTGAGATGCCAGCTAAAGACATCTTGAGTTAAGGATAGATTTCTTTTATCTAGCATAGGTCTAGGTTGCTAGCTGAACAAGCATTTTGCTATTCTCCTTAACCACCACCCTTTCCTGCAGGAGAACATCTCATCTCTGTTTCTACTAACAGACTTTCTAACAGAAGGCAGTACACAATTCTCCCCTCCTTTCAAGTTGCTAAGAGAAATAAGAAACTGAACAAGATGGACATATTTGCTTTCCTGTTACATGAACTGAAGGCAGCAGTGGTACATTGTAAAAGGTGGAAATTGCCTTCAGGGAATGAAGTTTGTTCTGCTTCTTGAACTGTCCCCATTCTTGGCTAACATTCGTTTCATACCAGCCAGGACATAATGAACGGGCTCAACTCATACTCAAAGAGGAATGGAAAGAAAATTCAACCAGCAAATACAGTAACAGACTGTTCACTGCTAAAACTAGCCAGTATCTTGGCTCTCAATTACACCACTTTAGCGACAGCTGACAACACAATTTTTTAAGCGTTTTATTAACTGAAATAGCCACATAAGAGATAAACCACGGGAAAGTGAAGATTCAGCAAGATACAGCCTAAAACTTATGAATATGAAAAAATTCTGAGCTAAAATCATTCGAAAAATATATGTATCTTTGTAGAACAGGGAGAAAATTACAAGAAGGACCAAAACTGAAGCAAGTCCCAGCTCAGCTTTAGAATTAAAGCCTCTGCAAATGTCATTCTAAAGCTGAGGAGACCAAAGGCACCCAGAAGTTTTGACTCACACTGGGCCTCCTCTCCGCAGATTCCATACAAGTCACCAAAAAGAAAATGCTCCACTTACAGCATCCCTCAAAGGCTGCACGCTTTCCTCTGGTATACAAGATACAAAGCATAAGGCAAAAAAATCCGCCCTACCACCTTTTCTAGAGGGGAAACAGGAATGCTAGCTCACACACCCGGGCAAAGACAGAGCCTGCTGTTGCTAAGTCCCACAGATCCCCTTCCACAGCGGCCATCAATGAGCAATTAAACTTAGGCCCATGCTTTGTGCCGTCCAGACCAACTCATCTCCATGCAGAAATACTGGCATCAAAACTTCAAGAAATCTTGGATTTCAATGTTTTCTATTTGGATTCAGGAGTCTTGACATTACTTGAAATGCAAGAGCAGCTTTAATGGAAGAACCCACAAAAATGCGCAATTATTTGGCTTTAAAAGAACAAATTACTTTTCACAGGAAGTGATGTGGAGATTAAAGTGGTAATTAAAGAAATAAGTTTGCTCTAAGTAAATGAAGGAGGCGGACAAACTCATTAGAATTAGATCTAGAAAATGACTTTTCCACATATCCCCAAACTTACTAGCAATTATAGAATTCAATTAAAATAACAAGCATTCAGTGTTTATTAACTGTGAACCTAATCAGCACTATTTAAGCACTTGGCTGAACTCACAGCTAATGAAGGTCCCCATCCAAAGTATTAAAATCATAGTGCTTGCTGGATATGGATATGAACTCCAGAGACGCCATTTAAAAGTTGATTTAGATCAGCTGAGGATCCACATGCACATTTATTGCATACAGGTAAAGATAACCACCTTTTAGACTCAAGAAATTACAATGCACATTTGACATTCAGAACACGCTTCAGCACCTTCCTGCATTAAGGCTATATGGTTATTCTAGCTGTCTCACATATGTTTAACCTAAACCACATGCTGAAGTCGGATTAGGCCTATTTTCTATTTTATTGAGTAGCCTGAGGCTGCTCTTGAGACTAGATTCATGGTCCAGCCAGGCAGCACATGGAGTCACAGAATCATTATGGTTGGAAAAGACCATCGAGATCATCGAGCCCAACCATAAGTCCCTCGGCACATCTGGCTCCAAGGCCACAGCGTAGCCAAGAGCTGCCCTCTGTAACACCTGGACATATACACATAATGGCTGGGCATATACATGCTGTACATTAGTGAGCCAGGAGTGCAGGGCTCGTGCATCCTCTGAGAGAGCAGTCCCTGCCAGGCTGGCCAGACAGCCTGTCCCCAGGCTGCCCGCAGACTATGGAAAGAGGGGCATGTGGAAACATTTGCTGTTCCTGGAGCTCCAGAGAAGTCTCCTGCAGGCAGAGTCGAGCTAGGGCTGCAGACCGGTGCAAGGAGAGCAGCAGCACTTCAGCACGGAGCCTTTCAAAGGGAACCAGCAATGAGATCCCTCTGTCAATCCTGAAAACAGTGAACTGGCACTGCCAGATCAGGCAGCACAAAAGAAACAAGCTGCTCCTTCCAGTTCCCCGCTCCAACTAGCGGACAGTCTGTCTCCTCGCCAAAGGCGCTGAATTCAGGCCTTTCCCGAAATGTGACAAAAAAAGCAAAGGCTTTGCAGTTGCAGACGTTCAAAAGACAATGAAAGGTACCGAGTTCCTAAGGGCATGAGGCACAGGCTGCGATTCTGCACATGCCAACGACTGTATGTCATGTCCACCAAGCCCCTGCCAGTCCTTCTGTAGCTCCGGACGGACGTTTAATGGTTCCTTCTTCCCTTTCAGCCCAGCATGTTTCTTCTAGGACTGTAGCTCTTTCCATACTTGGTGTGGAAAAGAGCGCTGGGGATTTGGAACCCTATTTAGGAGGAATGCAGATAAGTGGTGCCTACTGCTGCTCAGCATGTCTCTGGATTATCTCACAGGCTCTAAACATTCAAGTACCGCCTCACCCCCCAATGGCAGGGAATAACAAACAGCTCATTAATAGTTCCGAGTAAGGATATATGCTCTTAAGTCACTGGTATCTTAGTTAAGGGTCACAGGAGGTAGTTATTTTTGGTGGCCAAGTGTGTGTGGAGAAGTAATTTCCTTCGGTTTCTTCTCTTGTTACTAGTGACAGCTCTGATGATTCACAGAGGATTTTAATATGGAAGTTACTAAACATAAACATTCAAAATTCATGAGGCAAGTCCCTAAATTCCTGAGATTTGCCCTCCTGCTTTATCTTCTCCATTTTGAGCTTTTACATTTCCCCCTTTTTTCTCTCCACACGCAAATACTTTAAGGAATTTATGATTGTTTTGAAGTGAAAATTGATATTAGTGTAATTTAGGAGTTGAACTTGTAGAAAAAGGCCAAGCTTTGAGACTTGCGCAAACACCAGAAGCATCAGCACGGCGGGGAAGGCGCCCAGGGCCGCGCTGCTGCCACCTCCCCGCTCCGCATGGGGCTCTGCTCAAGGAACGAACGTGCCCGCAAACACGGCTCCCAGGACACCGCATGTCACACCGACAAGCCCCCCAACTTGGCACTTGATGCCAGGAGTAGAGTACCCACAGATTAGATTTTTTTGTTTGTTTGTTTTACTTTAGCAAAGGTGGAGAAAATTGGACAAGTTTTAATTTGCTCCAGCTTGGCTCCTGCCAGGGCCGCTCGCAGCCTCAACACCCAGCTGAATTTGCCCTGGAGAGGGGTGCTCGCACCCTTGCTGATACCCGATGGTGGCCTCACCACGTTCAAAAGCTCAGCATAAAGCGTAAGGCAGCTTCTTCCAGCAATGCTTCCAGATACCCCGCCAGCACCGAATGCCCCCGGCAGACTGGCCGCTGCCGGCCCCACGGCAGGCCCACATCCCGCGTGCGGCTCCGTCCTGCCCCACAGCGACGCTTTGGCCTGTGCTTGGTTTGAATTTAATGGTGTCGCACATGAGCTGTCCTGGTGCATTCCTCCCCCATCAGGAGCGCCGCTTGTCTGAAGCGGTTATCGAGGCTACAATACCACCCCTGCACTTCTCACCCTGTATTACATAAAGCAGAGGGAGAAAAATAACCAGAATAGAGGATGCAGCTTCAGGTTAACGCAGGCAACCAGCATTCTCTCTAAGTACCATTCATTAGCATACCTTACCCTGAAGCACTGAAATACATTGCCTGTCACTGCAATTTTAAGGGTTAAAGAACATCCTGCCACTCCTTCAAAAGATATTACGCTCCTAAGAATAAATCTCACAGAAAGACTATGAATAAGCAGTTGCACTAATTCCGAACAGCACAGCGGCCTCCCCGCGCTCTTCAGCGAGCATTAAAACAGCAGAGAGGGAGCAAGGAAAGCTCACTAAATGAAACAAATGGCAGCAGAGAGCACAAGCTAGCTTTAAATGTTCTTATAAATAATTGAGCTTACAGCTGTTAGAAGAAATAAACATAGCACATTTCATATGCAATATCACAGCTTTATTTATTTATTTTTAGGTATGGAACATATTTGTTTCCTTCCTAATCTGCAATGTTAATCTGGAGACATCTGCCCCAGCACTAAATTTTGTATGATTTAGCAGGAACATGTTACTTGGAAAAACAGAAGCAGGAAATTTAAAATGGGACATGGGGCTTTAAGCACTCGGAGATGCTTTTGAATTAAGTCACCTCTCAGTAACCGGCTTCAGAGTAAATAAAACTCACCCACAACCTGACTTTACTCGGTTCAAGGTCACCACTTCGGAACGTAGGGTAGAAAAGGACTCCCGGGTCATCGAGTCGACTCCAATGCTATTGCAGGCAACTGTGTCATATAACCCTCTGGAGAACATCTCACGTCCCAGCGTAAAAGCGGTAGCACTTTCTGCCTCTGCTGCTCCTCCTGAAGGCTATTCCAGAGCTCATTCTTCTGACAGTTAGAATTCAGGTTCTGACCTAAGGCCTAAATTTAATTCATGACTGGCTAGTGCTAATTTGTTTCACACCACTGCTATTTTTCTGTTTAAGTAGCTCTCTTCCCTCCTGATGCACATGCCCACCCATGTATTTTTAGAAAGCTATTGCACCTCCAAGACTTCATTTTTCAAGCCCGTAACAAGCATTTCCAAAGCAGCTGCCCTGCATATTGCCACCCATCTTGTTAAAATGAGGATAAGAATTACAACAACTATATCCAAGATCTTAATCTGGAAAACAGTGGAAGAAACTGAAGACTGGAAGTCTGAAGTCTGAACTCTGCTTAATGTCACAGAAAAAGAGAGCAAGGCCTCAAGCTGATATGCTCAACCGCAGAAAAGGAAGGGAAACTTGTAGGTTTAAGAGATGAATCAGCTTTTTCGGCCATTCTAAATCTGGCCTGTCAACTATAAACAATTCTGCCATCAGTGCTAGTTCAGAGCGTGATTTTGACGTCTACGGGAACCTCCCTAGCAAGGAAACTGGAATAACCTCACGTCAGCCAGAAAAAGCTTGTGAGGTGACAACAACTGGCTGCAGGGGCTGGAGGCAAACGGGGGCTCCTGCTGGAGCCCCTTGCCCTGCTGCAGACACTGCGCTCCAAGAGGAGCTCCAGGGGAGACGGGTCTGGCACAGGAGGCACAAGAGAAACCTCACGGAAAGAGCCTGACTGAACCCCTTTGGTTGAGCTAACAGCTCTTATCAGTAGTACTACAACCAAAAACATGTCTTCCCATGACGATAGAGTTCACTACACTGCAAGCAGGCTTTGACTTCCTTTAGGCTCCTTCAAGACTACCCTCTGTTTGCATTTGATAGTTATCAAGACGATGGTGACACTAGCAGAGGGCTATGTATCATCTGTGACAACCGAAGAAACAAATGCCTTTGTGCCACACCTGTATACCCACATAAACATTTTGAAATGCCAGAGAAAAATAAATTCTGGAATATTTTAAATAAAATCTTGGAATATTTTAAATAAAATCTTGTATTCAACTTAGCAGGAGATCCAAGGCGTGGTGTTTGGGAGCACTGGGCGCTGAGACCCCTGCTCAGCGTCACTGCGATCCGTGTGCTAACACGTCGCAGACGGAAGCGCTGCACATACTGACACACGTCCTGCACGGGGAACCCAACCAGGCACAGCTCTCACATTGCCAACTATGGAGGGAAAGCGGTAAATAAGAGAACAGCCATCCAGCAACCTGGGACAGCTCAGGACACTTAGTTCTGCCATGACTCATAGGACAATGTGGGCAGGGAGCACATCAACCACTGAAGTTTCATTTTGTCTTGGGGTAATAAGGGGAAATTAACTCAGTGACATTTCAAAAGGGAAATCATTTGAGGAATCTGCAATGACCACACCTGGCCAAGGGGATGGTGGTTTCTGTTTCAGCTGGATGTAGGTTTCCGTACGTACGTAGCACATTCCTCGGGGTCAAGCTGTTCTGAGCCGACCTGTAGGCCTGGGTGACGGGTGCGCTCTGTGCTGCCCTTACCTCTGCGCACAGCCCTGGCTGGAGGCCGGTTTTGTTTCTGCAGAACAATCGCTGCACATAAAGGGATTTAAATTCCAGAAGCCCTAATTACGTGGGACAATGAGCCCATTCGGCTGGCCACAGGATTGAGGGACAGACAAACAGTATATGACATTTACTACAGTGAATGATTCTATAAATACAATAATTTAGATCAACTGAGCAACATCCAGCAGCCTCTCCTGACATGACTTTATACAGCAAAGCCTGCAAAAGCCATCTTCTCTACTGTCACACACTTCTCAACAGTGAAGCAGCAAACAAGTGGACTGCATTAAGCAGAAATTTGTAGAAATTCTAATTAGAGATCGAATCATATCAGGGAGTTCTGATCCAGACAAATAGATCCAGATTCTGATGCACCTCCAATGCTTGAAGCAGATACTTTATTGCTACAGATACCATAGGCGAGCCTAGACAAGCCTAAGACTCCTAGCTGCACTAGGCAGAGGAACTGCACAGGTCCTGCCAAGTGCTCACCACCAGCACACGTTAATTCTTGGTGGTGAGCTCTGCTAGCACTGCCTGTTCTGAAGCTCTGTGCAAACACTCACTGGGCTGCAGCTGCGCCGTTCGGAGGTGTGTAGCTGTCATTCCCACTTTGCACGGAGATGGACAACACTGGCCTCTATTCTACGCAGCAGCTGAAATCAGCCAGGCTGGCCCAGCATACGCGTGTCAGCCTTTTGGGGTGTTATGTGATGCTGCCAGAATAAGCAGGAGCAGTCTGAGAGCTGCTCCCAGTTACACACAAATGCAATGACTTCTGGGGGCTTCAGCAAAAGCTACGTCTAGCCAACACATAAAGGTGGGGCTCAGGCACACCAGGATCTCTTCCCAGACACCTTTACAAGTATGGGGATACGGCTGGAGGTAAGACCGAGTCATTCGCCTTGGCCTTTGCCTACATGGAGACATTGCTGCACTGGAGGGGTTTCCAGGGAACTGATTCATGCACCTGCACATGCAGCACAGAAAGGTGCCAGCCAAGTCTAGAAGGGTGGCTGCTGCCATGCACCAAGGCCACCCAGCAAAGCGGTGGCTGCCAGGGAATTGGTACCGGAGCCCTGCTCCGCCACCTTGGGCTCGGCTGGTTGGACCATGCCGCTCTGAAGTCACCTACACGCTGGAAATGAGAACACAGTGATTGCTTCTTATCTCAGCACTGCAAGTGAGCCAGGAAAACTAATCTGCTGGCTTAAACAACGGTCCGAGGAGTCTCCAGAAATAGCAAAATGGCACATTCCAGAACCCAACCCTCATCTTCACTTCCCTCTGACTCTTCCACTCTAAGGTGATGGAATTTACACATTGCTGAGAACTCCACGTTCATTCTCCTCACTTTCATTTTCACAAGAGCAGGCCAAGACTCAGTGTTTAGGAATTGCCTTCAACCACTCCTTCCCACTAAATAAGTCAGGAGAAAGATCCAGTCATTTTGGTAGGAAAATGAACACCTATCCATTTTCCTAGCTACAATACAAACCCATATAAGGTCTATGTAGAAACCTACTCACTTTTCAAGCAGCAATGGGTAACACCTATCCCGATAAAAGCAACAATTTGAGTATTAACCTGCACTGCCCCAGCAGAACAACCCACTGCACATCAGCATGTGCCAATGTCATACAAAGTCCTGGGAGTTCAATCCATCAGCAGCTCTGGAAGGGCTACCTTTTTATTAAATGGATAAAAGATATTGGTGTCCTTACCGTGATTTAGGCTTTTCAGTTAGTGGTGCCATTTTCTCAGTTTGGTTTCACCCCTTAAGAAGCACAAAGGAGTTAAGGAAGCTTTTCTTTACGTCACACAGCCACTGGGTTTGCTGAGATGCAAGAAGAAATTTGTGGAGGCCTCTCTCTCTCTGGCACCCTTAAATACTCTGCTCCTCCTCCTGCTGCGCTTTAATTAGCCAGCTGGCTCTTAGTCACACCACCCTGTCCTCCCTAGGCTTGCTCACCACCAGCCACCCCCGCCCAGCCTGCCTGTCACTCCCTTGCCACTGTCATCGTGCGAGACACTGACATTTCCTGCAGCTCCTCGGAAGAGGAGAAAGTTGGAAGGTAACAGTCCACAGGAGCAAGGGTATGGGATGCTCTAGGGAAGCAAAACAACAGACAGACCTTGAAAGAATCAGTTGATTCAAGCACATGGCAAGTGCTTTAAAAAGCACTTTTTTTTTTTTTTAATAGTCAATGAGCATTTGCTTGACAGGAAGGACAAAATTTTCATTACAACTGGCCACTGCAGATCCTATTTCAGTGGATAGGAGCTGAGGGGTAGCTAAAGTTTCCGCACTTGGCAGATGACATTTGTAGCACAAACAACATGACACAAAGGGAAGGTGTCCGCTTGCAGAGCTACGGGGATGAGGGGCCCTAACACTCCCCGAGCATCCCAGCAGGCACCAAGGAAGCTTTTTAGCCCCCACCTGCACCAGGTGTCCCCAGGACACGGCGTGCCCCGCGCAGCGCAGCCAGGCTCCCGTCACGCAGCCCTGGCAGCGCTCTGCAGTACAAACGGGCCAGCCTGCAGGAGCCCAGCATTTGGCCACCCTGTCCTGGGCCCGGCAGGCTGCTGGAAAGGAGGGCAGCAGCACCCTTGCTTCCACTGTGAGCACCTGCACAATGAATGCAGGGGATTATGATTTCCCCAAATCTTTTGGAGTTTAGTTAGTCGGTGTCAAGTAGAAGTCTAATACCAGAACCAATGTGAAGGAGAGGCCAAGTCTCTCGATCGTGTCCGTTGTCCTCAGATCACTGTAACCAGTGCACCAAGACTGCAAGCTTCTGTGACTGATCTTCACCTCTGTGACTGACTGATACAGCACCTCTCCAGCTTCAGTTTTCCTTCAAGTTTGAATTCTCAACTATGCATGCATGTACAGGCATTGATTTTCAGCAATTTATGGACTGAAAATGTTCTGAAGATCATTGCAAGGCAGTCTCATCATTCAGTCAAGAGCTAGAAATCAATGCAGATGGGGAGAGCTGCTGACTGCAGAAGGGCACAGAGCAGAACTCACTGCGTGGGTCAAAGCTTATTCCAACTTCAGTCTCTTCTAAGATGTTAGCAAAGGACATAGAAAAAATGCCTCCAAATACCTACACCTGCAAAACTGTGTCAATGCCTGAGGTTGTGCTGACTGAGGTTCTGCTGTGCCAACCAAGCCCTTTCTCCTCCTCCTCAGTATAACTTTTAGCAACCCAGTACCCATCTCTCACCAACAGGAAACATTTAATCATCAGTCAATGGATGCAGAATCCTGACTTGGTAAATTGGCTAAGGTGCCAAAAGAGGTTGGAAAATATTGTTCTATTTTGCCTTTTGTTTAAGATGGATCCCATACCTCACGCCACTGGTAGTACATAAAGTTAGCTAAGGGTCCTCATGCCCAGATTTAGTATGAAATCCCAGGAGCACTAATATTTTTAATGAGTTTTGTGTTCATTTACCCCAGCAGAGGCTGTTTGTGAAATCTGATTCTGGATCTAGGTTTAGACTCCAACTCCTCTAAGAGACACCTGTGTTTGCACTGGCCGGAGAAACATGATGGTTATTTCAGATCTATCAACGCTCAGAATAAATGATGATGGAAAACTATGTTTTCAGTGGTCAGAACCTGGTGTCTCCTCTGGATAAAAAAGAAAAAAAGTTCTCAAATCAGAAAAGACAAAAGAAAACACACAACATTGTCCAAAGCAAACAGTGCAGCTATCAGCAGCTCCAATTACTTGAAACGTACTTGTTTATGCACTGTATGCATCAGAAGACCCCATGCTGAAGATATCCTCTTTGATCTCCTTCCCAGATCTGTTCTGGAGCCTGACCGCATGAGGGTTTTTGTTAGTTGGGAGCCTTTGCTTGCTGTGTGCCAGGGGTTTATAAACAAGTTTCTGACATTTGGTTTTGAGATAATAAAAATGAGCATCATTAAAGTGTCAAGAGAGTAGAAACCATACTTTATAAAAACAAAAGCTAGGGAGAATGACACCCAGGGAAAGGCAAAGTAGGGGAGGAACCAGGGGCTGCTCCAGATCCAAATTCAGATGGGAAAGTTCAGGTGAATATGGGAAAGAGCAGATTAGAAAGACTTGTCATTAGGATTTGCAGGACCTAGCTCAGATAGGCTTCAGGCAGCTTGACAGGAGGTAGAAGTTTGTCCTAGGGACACCCAGCCAGGGAGAAGGACCCTTGTGGAATCTGCTGCTTCACATGGGTGGAGGGTCCCCGGGCAGCAGGGTCTGCAGCACAGCCACCTACCATGGTTGCATCTAAAGTCAACCTTCAGCGCCACATGAGAAGCTTTATGACCATCTGCTGCTGCTTTACCACCAACATGTGGCAATACTGTAGTTTCTGCTGTAATCCAGGCATTTACATGGCCTCTACTGATGTACTGGGACATTTCTGTACTTTTTTTCCCCTCACAGTACCCATATCTTTGTAGTATCGTTATTGTAAGTGCAGGAAATAGGAAAACTGACAAAATCACATGTACGACAAGGGAAGTCTTTGGCGTAACAGAGGCAGAGGCCAATTCTAGTAATTTCCAAACCACTGCTCTACCCACCAGAGAAGTCTACCCTCATCTTCCCTCTGTTTTGCTATTGAAGTCACAGGCATACACAAATCCTTTCTTTGAAAGGACGACCTCCAATGTTTGTCCAGCTCTAAGGTGGGCTGGAAAGTTTTCTGCACAAACTATACCATTTTTGTGTTTTGATAGAGTCACATAGCCATCCTAGTTCCTTCATGCCACTTCAATATGCCATGGGGCTGGCCTTTTAACCAGAGGACAAACAGGTGCTGTGGAAGCCACTTTAGAAAAGGATAGATCAGGGAGAGGCTCATTAAAAATAACAGAGCTTGTTTGGTTCTGCAGATGGAGGATAAAAGGAAGCAGACTTAAAACCTCCTCATGCTTTTCACTTTAATTCCCTCTGAGTTTGTGGGTTTGAATAGCAAAACAAAACTCAACCAAAATAACACGCCGTTGCTAGAGTTCCACCCAGCACTGTAATTAAGCACAGAATCATTCGCCCAGACTCCTCACCCTGCTAGGCTGGAGCTTCTGCTTTGTTGCAAAACAGCCACCCAAGTTCCAGTTCGATGGCTTCACACCTCTCTTCCTGTCACTGCAGATGAGCCCTAGCTTGCCCCAAAGCTCCCAACTTCTGGATCCCCTTGGGTGCCTCAGATCTGAGCCTGAACTCTGCAGCTCCATCTTTCCCAGCTCAAAGCTAAGGGACTCAGTGCCAACAGGGAGGGAAATATCAGAGTCAGGCAACTCAGTGCACGGACATAGGAAGCACAGAACAATCTTAGTGGTACAAAGGGTTGCAGACAGTTACTGGACACGAAGCATAACTCCACCTAAAGAGGAGCCAAATCTGATGCAAAAACACTCCCTCCCAGCTGCTTCTCCTAAAGAAATCTCCTGCCTCCAAATCTAGTGGGAGCAAGTCTGCAGCAGAGAACAACTTAAGGACTAACAAGTAGTTTTTGTAACAGCAATGTGCCTGCTAATCCAGTGAAAGCACATAATCTGCTAAAAGTGCAGAGACAGGCAGCTCCAAGACTTTTGCAAACAGATGGGGAAAGGAAACACACAATTTGACTTCCCTTTCAAAGGCAAAGAACTATCCAGTGTCCCTTCTGCATGCAGGAGCTGGAGAACTCTGCCTTACGCTGGCAGAAGCTGGGAGTGATCAGCTGTTTGACAGCCTCTTGAACAGCAGTTTCTCCCAGCTCCCACCAAATTTCTACTGATCTACTTAAACTCCCATGTGGAAAAAAAAAAGTGTATCCTTGCCCAACACCCTTGAACAGTTGTTCACCCTGCTCTAAGCATTTTTGTCTCATTATAGGTCTGATAAGTGCAACATTACTGGAGAAAAAAACTTTGGGCCATACTACACTGACCCAAGTCTCAAGAAAATGAGTGGTAGTTACACCATGCAATCAAGTAAACACCTGCATCTTCACCTGCGCTTCAGCTTCTCTATCCCTTTGTACCTTGCATTGCTACTTCTGCTCAGGCAAAATAGAGATTAAAAAAAAAGAACTTTCATGCTAAGATCTGTGGCTAGATATGGGACCTGAGCCTTAGGCTCACAGAGACGACTGGCTTGTGTGGGGCTAGAGAACCTTGGCTCTGTTCCCTTGCAGGACAAGCACAGCAAGGGCACTGCTTAAGTCAACTAAAGGTCCAACTGCCATCATTACTGATCCAACCAGCAACTCAATCAATAAATGGCATTGCTGGCTGTGAAGGTAACACCATGAAGCCAAATAAATATTAAAAACTTCTGCAGGGACATACCAGCTATTTACCAGTGTTCTTTACTGCCATGCTGTAGGGCTTAAATTAACCTTAAGGTTCAGTCAGAAGAAAATCATCTGCTACATGGCATGCAAGGAAAGAGACATTTGTCAAGTTCTCCCACTCGTTTTACAGACTCAGAATATTCAGATACTTGGCATAATGGCTGTCTCATGATCTGAGCTTACTGCTTATACCAACAGCAGAGATTCGAGCAGTAGTCCAGGGAAAAACGGGAGAAGCAGGAACGCTGTAAGACACCTAGCAGAAGCGTTTTTTAAAATTAATAATGTGCTGTCTGTCCACCCTGGTATCTTCCCACAACACTTTTCCTATGCCCTAATTGCTCCAGACAAGTGAACAGAGAATCAAGCCACAGCTGATTCCCTGCACTCGGGGAACAAGCCGACGAGCCTCAGAGGCAACCTGTCCTCCAGAAGACAAGCCTGAGCGTCCACGGAAGCTGAGCAGCTCTGCC